TTTCTTCTAAAGACAGCAGATGTTTTCTCACCGGTTGACATTTGGTTCCCCCTTACCCCCTTTGGTTCCTGTTGTTTATGGTCCTCTGTCTTTTCAACCTTTCAGTGGTGGATCTATCTATTCATTAGGACTTTTACAGCAGCGCTCTGTGGCTCTAAGAATGCACATCTTCAGTGAGGTTATCCAGGCCTAAAGTGGCCTAACGTGGCCTAACGTGGCCTTCAGGACCCATTAGGTATCTAGCTGTAAATCTGGAAGGTCCGGACGCTTCATTCTCAGTGCCATTAGTTCCTTAAACATGCTTTCTTTCCAGCTGCTACTTTTTTTTATCTGCCAGCACATGTTTTAGCTAACTTCTGCAATCTGGTTATTGTGGGAGCCCCAATTTTTGCATATATTTTCTTTAAAAAAAAAAAAAAAAAAGAATAGAAAAAGTCTTAGACCTTGCAGATTAAATGTACTTGATTTTTCACCCTCTACTTGTCAGAAACCTAACAACAGTTGGAGGCTCATGCATGAAAGAATGTGCATGACCTTGTTCACATGACTGTCACACTCTAAAAAAAAAACATGAGGAGAGGGATGAAGCAAAAAGGGGGGATTGCATCAGGGGCTCAGCAGTCCATTGGGTTTTTGTTGGCTTTTTTTTTTTCTTCTCTCAGTCTGTCCGCTGGATGAAGAAAAACGATCGCCAGGGATTTCCATAGAGAAAAGATGAAGCGGAGTGAGACGAGCTCTCTGCTAGTTTGTCTTGTGGAAAGCGGATGCAGGAGGGCCGGGCGGGGATGGGGGAGATGAACGCTGTGCGTCTGAGAGGCAAAAGGGGACTGGCAGCTTAATCTGACTCATGTGGTATTTTAAGTGCGGAAGTCCTATTGCCTAGCAGGAGATGAGGCCCATGAAGAAACAGATGGCGCTTTATTGTTTGTCGGTGTGCTGATCTGGAGGGCACCATCCATTTGAAGTCTGTCCGTGAGCGAGGCCGTTTGGCGTGATTTGCACGGAAGAAAGTCCACGCAAATTTCCCAAGAGAAGCCGCAGCTTCTCTCCTGGTTTCTCAGACAGTACGGCGTTATGGGACGCAGCTGAAGTGTCCCATCAGGCTGCATGAAAACATACTAAAAACACTTGTTGATAGGTTTGGACTCTCTTTTTATTTATGTATTTTTTTGCAAGCTGGCGGTTTTGGAAAGAACTACAGAGATGACTTCTTTGCTCTGCTTCTATATGCAGTTGTATTTATTTGGCAGGGATGTGCTGAGAAGTGAGAAAACACACAGCACAGCATAAACAGTTCTGATAACACAGTCAGTTCTGACTCCAGGCCTCCTGCAGTCTGTGCCCACATGTTGCCAAAGGTCATTTCAGTTATCCCGTATAGTGTATTTTTTCTTGAATTATGCCAATAAATGTTCTTAAAATGCCAAAAAATATGTATTTTATGTGATACTATATTTTCTGAAATATCAGAATAAATGCACGTAGAGTAATACTGTGGTACTGGTTTGGACCAGATATTCCTTCTAAATTATGACCTCTGATCAAATAACCTTCATGACCTTTTACTGTGAATTATTAACATAAGAATTTTTCCTTATATTGTAAGGAAAAATATCAGTGTAATTTTTCCTTACACTGATATTTTCTATCAGTGCAGAAAATAACTTTCAAATAAGAACTAAATAAATACATTTCAAGGTGCACCATGTGAACATTTTGGGCCAATATTGAAATCTGAAATTAATGTCACTGTTATGGCTGACAACAGTGACATTATCAGCCGTAACAGATACGGCTGATATCAGCCGTACCAGCTGATTATATAAAGTTATTTATATAGCTTTAAAAACCAATATTTAAAGCTATATCCAAATCAAATCATAGTTTCTTTGTATGACACATTTCAGAAACAAGGCAGGTCAAAGTGCTTTATGTCATAAAAACATTGTATACGGCAGAAAATAGTTTGGAGACTATTTATTTATTTCCACCAAGTTCTTCCCCCCTTCTGACTACAAATCAAAGGCTCCATTAAACTTCAGGTTGACAATAGTCTGATCATGTCTCATATTGTCTAATACTTCAGTGTGTCCTCCTTCAGCCCAGAAATTCACTGAGACGATGTTTCTGTTGGGGGAGGGAAAATCAGACATTCTACTTTATTGGTGAAACCTTTTCATCCAGTGGTGACATCGATGCAGAACCCTCAGACACATTACGTTTGGTGTATGGAAATGGTGGAGGGGATCAGTTTGTCCAAAGGAACACATCGGCTTTAACCTTGAGGTCTACATTCATAGCGCGTTCTGTCATCCAGGTGTGTTTTTTTCATTTCAGAAAAAATGAAAAAAAATAAATAAATAAATAAATAAAATAAAAAGGTGAAAGGACTTCAAGTCCACTCCTGCTGCCTTCCATGGGAAAGGCCGGGGGGGCTTTCACGACCTGCCATCACTCGCTCCAAAATCAGCACCTCGCCACCAACATTCAAAGCTGCCACTGCACTTTTTAATGCAATTTACCCTTTACTGAATTGAGATGCCCTCAGAGCAGGAGACTTAGTATGTTGCAAGGTTACCCAGGACAAATGAGGTGCACGGATCTCTTTTGACTCCTCAAGCTGTCAGAAATTTTCAGGTGTACTGAAAGGGGTGTGGCCCAAGCAGAACTTGCACAAGCGACCCCACGGCGGACTCCTAATCACTGGGTGGTGACGCATCCCATGCTGTGAACGTTGCACGGTTGCTGCATTTGGTTTTCCTTGGACACTTCCCCCCTAACAGGCTCTCAGGTTTAGCGACGGGCCTCGTCTTGTTTGGAGAGAGAATTAGCCGGAGGCATCAGTCGGCGCTCTACTGTACATGGGCTTGATTTGTCACTAAATCCCCAAACAAGGCCTGGTGTACTCTGCAAAGCTCACTTTGATGAACAAAGCAGGGGCAGACGGAATGGATCCAGGCAGTGTCATTGATTCATGGAGGCTTAAAGAAGCCCAACTGATTGCAGACATTGTGACAATAGGGCCATAATCTCGCTATCAATAATTACATTCTCCCTGATGTCACAGGGAAACACACACACATACACACACAGGCTGAACCACAGACACACGGATGAGAAGATCAAAAAATGTTCAGGTGAACGAGGGAAGAGACAGAGAGAGAGAAAGAGGGGGATCCCTATAAAATATTCATAGCTTCTTCATTTAAATCAATTCAGCTCTACAGGGGCAGTCAAGCATCAACTGTCAGAAATTGAGCTGGGCCTGTTGTAATCACTTCTTTACTTATTTCTACAGATGGCTTGTTCGCAATGGGCTCTGCATGGACAGTTTACTGACACACACACTTACACACACACACGTGCACTCCCCAGCCCCGGTCTCCATGTTTTATCCCCCAGCCCACGCTGTAATTCATGTGCGGTATTGAACTATGGACATTCATCACCCCAGAACTCATCTGCAGGGCATTTTCATTCTCAAAGTGTCTCTCTTCTCTCTCGCACTTTATCTCCCCCTCCTCCCTCTCTCTCTCTGTTTCCACCTCTGCGGTGGCATCGTCTGCATGGCAGGCTAGAGACGGGCGCTCGGTGTCATGATTAATCTTTAATGTTTGCCTGCCCTAATTTTCCCTCATATTTTACAAGAATCCCCCCACCCCTTACCTGCCATCACATCTGCTGTATATAGAGTGATTACCTTGTGTGTTGTTTCATTGGTTGCAGGGAACCATCCTTTGCAGCTCTCAGGCCAGAGCTCACTTCACGAAATCTCACACTTCCCCTCTCCCTCTAGGGATCTGTGTTAACATCACATGGATGACAACTGTCCACATCTCAAGTAGTACACATACACACACACACACACTCACACACAACATTGTGGTGGAATGCGCTCCTATTCTGAGAGTGGGACAGCCAAGAAAATAGGGTAGAGGTTAGGATGCTAAAAATACTAGAGCCTGTTAGTTCGGTGGCTGCAAAAATAGCGCCGTGTTGCTGCCGCTTCTGTCGATTCTGTTAATCGCAACGGGAGCATGCTCTGCTCGTGTTTGTGTTCAACGCATGAAACGGGCGCCGAGAAGACGTCTGAATCGCTCAGACTAGCCCCGTGTGTTCTCTGCACTCAGAGACAAAGTGCTCCCCTTCCCCCTGGCTAGAGCCATGCTTTTAATAAGCTAGCAGTCCATCTCCAAAGATAGAAGGGAGTCTCAGAACGTCAGATGATCTCATTGTGGTTTCAAAGCTCAAGCTTGTTTTTGTTGCTTCCCATAATACCTTTTGTGGAGATTTTCATGATTACCACACACACTCAGGGTGTATGTGTAAGGCAAATGACTATTTTGTACAACGTCTCGAGTGGGCTTTTTTTTTAGATTTAGAGCATTACTCTTTCAACACTATTAAAACGTCAAACAAAACTGTATAACATGAACAAATTGTTTATTTCAAATATGAAAGCAACAATTATTCCTAAAATTGCTGAAATAAAATATAGCATAATAATTTTGTTATATTACGCTATGGTTGAAAAAATGAATAAAATCACATTTAATCAGTTAACAAAACTAAATTAGTAATCAAATCATTGCTAACTTGAGTATACAGACTCTAAAACATCTAAAACATGCTATTTGCTGAGAGAACAACACAATCAGAGCAGCAATTAAGCCAAAACTGTAAAAAATTATATATAGACATTATGCATTAAAGATTAAAATTTTTTGTCTGTAAATATGCTGTACCCAGAACTCAAGTAGCCTAGTTTGAGCTTTGCCTGTATTGAAATGCCCAAGCTTTTCAATTCAGCAAAGCTATTTTGAAATTATATTTTCACATGCGCTTGATTTTGCAGGCATGTTGTTAGAAGTACTTGTCTTTTATTTTGAAAAGCAACTTGTTTTTCAATGAGTTTTAGCACTTGGATGAAGAAGGCGTTTGGCCATATTGACATCGGTTTATTTTACAAAACTTGAATGGAAACACTTTGTTTTTTTTTCCATCACATATCAGAGGATGGCAGGAAATAGTTGAATGACGATGGCGTGGCATGTTTTTTGATGACCTATCATGTGAACAAACTTATTCACATGTGATTTTTAAATTTCTCTTGTTATTAAATGGGAACACGACATTGCTAAATTGTGTTTTTTCGAATATTGATAATATTTTGTTTCAGTCAGCTGACCAGGTGCATCCAATAATCTGCATTTAGCAGTTCAGTCTTAATTTTACCAGCACTGGTAAACATACCATCACATAACCTTGTACTTTTCTTTATTGTGGTCAGGTGTTTGCATATTCTTTTCATTTTAGTACCGGTCCCCATTTGGGCCTGTTCAGTCTGCTCGACATTCGATAAGCTGGAAACGGAAAACTGGTTGAAGCAGGTACCAAACTTCCTACGGTAGAAGGCAACAGAACAACAGACCAACAATCCCTTAGGCTCTAACCAGCAGAAAAATCTCTTATCACTCCATCTCTTTTTCTGGCATGTCACTTAAAGGAGATGATATACCATGATATAAGTAGACGGCCCTTGCCCAGTCTTGAGTAACATTGGATATCCTTGGTGTGTGTAGTTTCTTCCTCTTGTCCGGGCCCATCCCTCAGTGACTCAGGCTACTCCCACCTCGTGACGGAGGAGCCATGACTGCCTGCACACACCGCTCTCCTCTGTTTCCCACAGTCCCTCTAACTCATTTCATATTCATTAAGTGTCTGGGTGCAGCCCAGCCTTTGACATTTGACTCTTAAAGACCCACCTGGGACCACCATGAAATGGACTACCAACAGTTTCTGCGGAGGTGAGAAGGAAAAGCGTAGTGTTGGGTAGAGATGGATAGGACGGGATTATCCATATATTTTTTTGGAAGGAGTCTGACGGACTCCAGTTACAGAGCACTTATTTCCTGTAAACAGCGTTTGTGAGATGTTTGCACGTTGTGGCAAATGAGAGATGCCTTGTAGTCAAGCTGCTCTGATCACAGCGAGAGAGAGGTGAGAAAATACCGAAACAACTGTATCCTGTTTCCTCATGAATGGAGCCACTGTATTTTAAGATGGATGCACTCTGATATCAAGCAGCCGGTAGTTTTAAATAGACACAGTGTCTTTCACGGATCCTTGTAAATGAATCTTATATCACACCAGTTAGCAGTTCCCGTAAGGACTTTAGAAGCTCCCATTGTCTAAAAAAAAAAAAAAAACACTTAGCTGCATGTTTGCTTGCCAGGAGCCATGGTGTTGGGTTCAACTGATGACCTAGTAGTCTCTGACATTCATACCCTGAGACAGTGCTCTGGAAAAGAAACCAAGATAAAGTCGTCAGCATGACATGTCACGCTCTTTGGGTAAAACAAGACACAGAAACGTCTCCGTCTATTCCTTATTCTGACTCTTTTTCAAAAGGCCTGTCATCCCGGAGATTGAGAAATATGCAGGCATGCAGCGCTGAGAGCTAAGATGTGGGAGTTCATGACACAGGATCCGACAATGTTAGAATACCATGTTTCTTGTTAAAGTGATGTACTAGTCAGTATTATTGAGCTGTGAATGTGAAGAGTGTGTGCTAGTATAAACGTGACATTGTGGGCCCCACAGTGTGGGGTGTGTCCAAATTCAGGGGCCGCATCCTTCGAAGGCCGATTACATCACCGCTATGTGACCAAATTCAAAAACTCCTCGAAATGCGTCCTCCTTTTTGAGAGACGGGTCTGGTGTATCCTTCTATCTAGAACCAAGATGCACTGTCGGCAGATTTTTGTTCTTGCACCAATGACATACATACATAGCGGAAGACTAGAGTTGTAAATACAAGTATTTTAGTATCTTGTGGTACAAAAATTAAAAACTTACAACATTGTATGGCTTTTGTAAAAAAAAAAAAAAATCAATTAATTTAATTAGTAAAAGAATTCAATAAAATTTTTTTGAAAAGCTTGTCTTTAGTTCTTTCACTGTTGCTTTGCGACAAGACAAACGACGAGGTAAGGATAGGAATAAACCTAAAGGCTAACCGTCCAGTTCCAGCCTGTGTAGTTGACGAAGGACCTTCCCTATGTTAAATGTGTCCCTGAATTTGGACACCAATTGTTTGAGGCCCTTATTTTGAAGCAAGAAAGGAAGTTGTTCCTACCCACTCCAGTTGTGTAAGCTAATAAAGCCTTCTCAACAGGCTGACTGTAAACACTTGGTTACAGTAGTGTTCAAGTTAGTTTGAAACGGTGACAGAATGGCAGATGAGAGTTGTGAGAATAACATGTCTAGCTAACTGCTAGTTGGTAAAACTAAAGTTAGCATCCGCCTTGCATTTTCCAATTGGTGTTAAGCTATTTCTTTCCAGATTTTGGATTGATTTTGATCAATTGATCAAAATCGCTATCGCCAAAATAGCAGCCAGTTTAAAATAATCATATCAAGTCTGAAATTAACTTTTTTTTTTTCTTCTTTTTTTTTTTTTTACACTGAACAGTTTATTTATTTAGTCTTTCGGCTGCACTATGGAGTGGCAATCATCATCATACAACATTGGATGCAACATTTGATCATCTTCTCTTCCAGCTTGTCCCTTCAGGGAACGCCACAGTGAATCATCCGTCTTCATTCTGTCGTGTCCTCTGTGTCCTCTACCTTCACACCAGCTTGTTGCAGATAAAATATAAAGCGTTGACTTTCTTTGTTGAACATTGTTCCCTCCCGTCTGTCTCTACTTCAGTCGTAAAGCTGACTAATGGAAAATATGACAACTATTTGAAGCAGAGCTTTCGAGCGGCGCAGCACGCCTCAGCCATCTCCTCGGCTTGTAGCTGTGATGTTCAGCAACTCCACCGCGGCGGGACACCCGGCTTTGCCCTCGCGCCATACGTGGGAAAAACCTTTGCGGCGCAGCGCTGTGCCACTGTGGTGCTTCCACTGCGGAGCTGGATTATTGTGTCTGGGCTGTCAGCACCTCTCAGCTGAAAGAAAATGAGAGTGAAGTTAGGGGAGAGAAGCAGAGAGGGGGAAAGAGAGTGAGAGCAGGAGAGAAAAATCTTCTGGAGGGCTGGCATTTTCAAACAGTAATCTCTGTGGAGCCTTTCAGGGGATTTAATGTCATTTTTGGCCTCTGGAATTTTGCCCTTTTTCCTCTTTTTGAACAAAAAAGCAGCTGAGAGCAAATATGAGGGGTAAAGAAGGAGGAGCTAGGAGAAGGGATCTAACAGAGACAGAGAGAACCTCTCAGCTGATATGATTAGTGCGGCTGACGGGTACTTGGCCTTCATCCAGCAGCTGCCAGCAGGCCGATGGCAGTAAATGGACTCTGGTATATGATGGCCCATATAATCGTCATATTTTACACATTGTTGTTACGCCAGATTCTTGGTTCTCTCAACATTTTTAGAGGTTAAGTTACAAAGTTATCAATTAATGAGTTAATCTAAAGTCCATTGCTCTTATCGATCTACTAACGATTAATTGATAAGTAGACATCTTTTTAGAAACCAGCGATCGTCTTTCCATAACAGTAAGAGCTAAGTTTTTTTTATATGCTGATTTTAAAAACATTGTTATATTTAACAAAAAAAAATGTTTTCTTTCAGCTGTGTTAAATTACTGATTGAATAAACAATGTGTGTATTTTCTTCTTAGCATATCAGTAATGTCTGGTTGAGAAGTTGACGCTGCTCTGCCATGCAACATGGCTGGCTGAGCACTACTAATTTGATAATCTAAGCTTGGCTAGTGTTTGTTTCATAGCAGTACCACATAAAATGCACCTTGCATCCCAAATCTGACTCCTTTTGGACTGTTCCTCTTTTCTGTCCTGGGATGCCTCCGCCATGATTATTTTTCTGCCAACTGGCTCCACTTACGAATTACCAACATTGAAAAGGTTTAAGTAGATGTTGTTAATCAATTGGAACTAATTATAATCTAATAAACCATTAATCGACAATTAATTGTAAGTTGATTGCATCCCTAGTTGAAGTAGCAGAAGACAAAAGACTCAGAATGGTCCTTAAGCTTTACTAAATTCGGCTTCCTTTGTGTCAAGCTTTCATGCCAATGCAAAGAGTATTAAAGCGTTCCAAATATGTTCGTTCTGGCTACTGGCTCCAGCAGTAACCTTTTCCTTTCCTGTGTGAGTTATGGTTTGGCTGGGATGCGGTGATTACAGGCATGCACCTGCAAACCCGTCGCCTGCAGCACCAACCAGCTAGAACTTCCCTAGAGAGGGCTTTCCTGGCCAAAAAATAAAAAAGTCTGCAATGAGCACTCTTCCCTGCCCTTTACCACCTTGGTTTGTCCTCCCCACACTGCTCACCTCTAATGAGCCTCTGCAACCGTATGCATCCTGAAGCTGGGAAGAGAAGAGAAGAGAGAGAGAGAGAGAGAGAGAGAGAGAGAGAGAGAAAAGGAATCCACGCTCTCATACACGCATGCTAAAGCCTTTCATGTCTGTAATCCCCACCAGCGAGAGGAGCTGCATGGGAATCTTGGTCAGCTGACTTTAAAGAGAGAGGAAGGGAAGGAGGAGCTACTGCAGGGTTGAAACCTAAAGCCTCCCCTTCCGTTAAAGCCTGCTGGGATTCTCCACGGGCTCGGCTCACCCGGCCTCACCTGGCTCCATCAGCGGCTTCCCCTGAGCTGGCCTACTTGGGACTGTTTGATCTCATTGTGGAAGATGCGAGCTCACCCGCCGCCTGGCAGGCACAGAGAATTCCTTGATGCTGAGGGTTGAAGAGGTGGAGCGGACTTCAGTGGAGAGGCTTAATAACTGTATTAACATCGCAGGCTCCCCCAGGACACACTCCTACACTGAGATGAGTGTTGGGAGGGTAGTCTAGCCTCTCTTCTCTGTCTTTCTGCACATGCCCTGTTCAGCTTAGCTTGTTAATTTGGAGTGATTTACAAATCACCTTAGACTCAAACCTTCTTTTCCTTCTCTCTTTTCAATATTTATACATGTTTAAATATGCTACATCCATTTCAACTTGCACACTAAGTTATTCCTGAAGTAATCCACTTACACTAACTTAATTTCCTCATTATATCCTGTTGTATTTTATCTAATTGCCAGTCTGCATTCTTGGCCTCTGTTAGGGAACGGTCTTAATATTCATGCTATTAGACATGGTGCTACGTTGATCTTTAACTGATGGATTCCCGTTTGTCCCAATTTTTGGACCACACACCCTCCACTCATTATTAACTTGGTGTGCATTCACACCAGCCCTGTTTAGTCCGCTTTAATCCAACTCCAGTTCGTTTACATAATCGAACTCTGATGCAGATCAAAAATAAGCGAATTCTGGTCCCATACAAACCATCGGTCCTCAGTTTAGTTGAAGTGAACTCTCGTGCAGTTTGAATGCACGTGAATGCCAAGTGGATTGGAGACCACTCCAAAAGCAGGAAATGGACTATATTGCAGGGCATTTTGGGTAAATATAACCAAAACAAGCGCAGGAGTCCAGAACCAACAGGAGAAATGAGTCATGGTATTTTTTTTACCGAAGACGAGAGAAAACCTGTAACCACTAAAATCTGTTGCTACTCCATTTTTATTTAGATTTTGTGAAAAAGGCAGTAGTGCTCAGTGTTGTGTCCTTCAGTGGTTCTTGGTCTAGCGCCACCACAGGCAAGAGGAGGACCAGGTTGCTCAAAGGGTTTGGTTCGCCTGCATTGTGAAAGTGAATTGCACCAGCTGAAAATGGAACAAATGTAGTCTACTGGACTACCAGGTGTGAAAACACCTTTAGTTTATCGTCTTGTCTTTTCTAAATGTCCTCCTGGCTGCACTTTGCACAGAGTTTGTAATATTTAATTCAACTTTGAACTCAAGGTAATGAACTCTCTGCACACTTGTGTGTGGCACCTTGACACTTGAATTATACATGGGAAAGTTTTTAATAATTGACGACTCTCACTTAGCTTAATGGACAGAGCTAACTGTGAGCGCTGTGCCTTCCTATCACTGTGGAACTAGGCTGCAAAAGAAAAACCCATACCCACAGGGTTGTAAGTAGGCCCAGGACTCATGCTGAACAGATTCAGCAGCCAGCCAGCCAGCTGGCCTTGGATTAAATGGACCCCAGTGGGACTGGAAGGCCAAAGAGAGGTGGAAGCTCACCTGGACACTCGGTTCTGGTGAATTGTACTCTGCGAGTCATGCCAAGTGAAAAACCGCTGAGGTTTTGTCACACTTAAAATGGTGTGAAAAAGTTTAAATGTGTCCATGTTTTAGTTTTCACTTTGGTGCTACAGAGGAAAACTGTCACTGTGAGACCTAATGTAGAGTGAAGATCCAGTAAACTGCAGAAATCTTCACACCTGGTGGCAGGAAGAGAGCCTTTATTGAAAATCATAAGCTGATGTTCACCACTCATTATGAACACCTCCAAACTATGAAACATGGTAGTGGCAGCATCATGCTGTGGGGGTTATCAGCTACAGGGTCGACTATTGACAGGAACATGGATGGAGCTAAAAGGTCAGGCATGGATAAGAAGCTGTTAGAGGCTGCGAAAGACTTTCCATGTGTTACAATGACCTAGACAAAGTGCAGGCCGAAAATGAATTGAGATTTGATTTCAAGACATAAAAATGTCTTTCAGTGTTTGGAAGAAACCCAGTCTCTGGCTGTGCATAGGTAGTAGAGATGTAGATGCCACACTTTTCAGATTGTTTTTGTAAATTATTATAATTTCTTTCAGCTTTGCACTACTTAATGTCACATCAAAAGGTGATGGATGCATCGTGATTGTCGAAACGTGACAATACTCCTGCAGGACTCTGTATATTTGCTTAAATAACAACCCTGCCATTGTTTTCTCTTCACATAAGCACTCCAGGACCATTTGAAGTAATTCAATAATGCCTCCTGAAGCACCTGAGTGAAAAATGACAAGGAACCAATTTAAAACAAACAAAAAAAAAACTCCATTGAGCTAAATGAAACCTTCATTAATAACAGACAGGGGAACACCTTTCACCACCGCAGTCCTAAAACTGAAACAAACCACAGCATGCATGCTGCTTCCTCTCACCAGGTGACTTCACATGCATGTTCTTGGACTGTGGGAATGGATGGTCTGGGCGTTCATGCTGCGGTAGAGATGACAGCGACACCGCTCCATCACTCCACTCTACTGTGCAGCAGTTACAGCATGTTCAAGTTCGTAATTCCTTCATTTTCCTGGGCTTTAGATCGACTCTGCCTCAGTCAAACCTGTTCAGAGACTACTAGGCAGCCATATCACAGGAAGTAGCGTGTCTCTTTTTGTGTGTGTGTGTGTGTGTGTGTGTGTGTGTGTGTGTGTGTGTGTGTGTGATGATCAAATGGCTCCCCCCAGGCTACAGTGAAAGGTCAGGGATCTATGCAGGAAATTAGTGTCTGCAGAGGCACAGACAGCACACACACACACACAGAGAGAGAGAGAGAGGGTTAAAGCAGAGCTCATACCTGAGGAAGCCAAACATATCCTTCATTAAAACCTGGTACCATCCCACTCCCCCTCCCTAACCCCCGATGGCCCCACCTGCTCTCATCAGCCATTTGTCCTGATCACAAAACAAAATGAAAGTCCCCATCGACCAACACCTCCAGTTTTGTTCCTGTGTTTATTCAGTGTAAGCACCGACACCAAAGACAAATGATTGTGCTCCTCTCCGCCCACCTTCTCACCCCTCGCTCTGCCCACGTCCCCCTGCTAAGGAGTCCCCCACGACTCCTCACATCAGATGTCTGAATAAAAAGCGTGCCATGGCTCATCATTAGGCGGCGTAAGGAGAGCAAAGACTGGCCCAGTGGCTCTCGGGTGCTTCTAGCTGGCGTTGTGCTCATTGGCTTTATAATATTGGCTTCGCTCAGTCAGGTGAGTCAGACTGCAGCCCTCAGCTCTCAGCCTGTGGATCCACACTGAGACTGAACAGCAGGGCAGTCCACCTGCCTTAAGGCTCTGCACCGTGTTTAGTTTATGGAACTGGAGTAAAAACATATCCGATCAGAAATATCAGATCAATATCAGGCAGTTGCCATTAGAGAAGCACCTCGGCAACCATGACCTCGTACAAAGATCTTCTGCAGAGCGAGATGTGCATTTACTCGAGACAGTATGTAGCACTAACCTTTGTGTCAGTTTGTTTTATAGACAATAAAGAACAAACCTCTGCATTGTTTGGTAAAAGACTTGGGGTGTCTTCACACCAGCCCTATTGTGTCCACTTTAATCGAACTGTAGTTCATTTATCTAGAAAGTTCAGTTTGTTTGGGGAGATGTGAATGTGTAATCGAGTTCTGAGGTGGACCAAAAAAGTGAACTCTAGTCCACCTAGAAACCTAGGTCTCAATTTGGTTGAAGCTAATTCTGTTGTGGTTTGAATGCATGTGAACGTCACAGGCATTCTGGGTAAATGCCTACTAAAACAAACACGCGTGTGTACCGCCAAAAAGAGAAAGTTGTCTTTTTTTTTTTTTTTTTTACCAAAGACAAAAGAGAAATCCCGCACCGCTATGACGCCATTTATGTTCACATTTTGTGCCGAGTGTCTTCTTCAGGGGTTTTCATGTCATTTCTTTCAGCAGTTTTTGGTGCATTGTTGCCACAGGAGAGTGGCTGAACAGGTTACTGGAAGTGTTTGGCTCATTTGACACAGAGAAGTATGGAAGCAAACCACAGCAGCTGAAAATGTAACAAATGACACAATTTTGGTCTCCAGTCTACCATGCTGTCAGAAGATGGGACATTACAGCAGCTTCTTCAAACCCAACAACCTGGCCTTGAAGCAGATGAAGCTGTTCACAAGCAATAGTAATTGTCATACCAATGAAAATCCAGTATAAATGTTGAGTTCATATCTGAAGAATTTACTTTTGTGTGTATTTTTGAACACATTTTTATTTTGTTGGACGTTGGAGTCCCTGTTTTTCCCTGGATCGTGGAGCTCATAAACTAGTGTCAGGATACAGTTTATCTAATGCATTCTCAATCAGACATCGGCACTTTGGGCTAATTCATGAAGGGTGTTGTTATTTTCTGTCTTGTCTGCGATTCTGGAATGCACCTCAACCAGCCGAGGGTTTAGAGCAGAGAAAGAATAACTAATATATCTCTAACCTATGTTGACAAGCGACTAAAGGGCCAAACCCAACCTTTTTTTGGTGACTGAGAGAAACGGTCCGATGACGAGGTCATTTGCTTAGCATCGCTGAGCACATTTTCTCAGCCGGCCCGAGTCACGCACAGGCTGCTCCAGCGACCTCATCCCCCACGCCCCACTTCCACTGTCACGCTCCCGCTCTGAAGCCAAGGAGATCAAAACCCTCGTAATCTATTCCCCCCGCAATTGACTATTGTTATTCGCAGAGGAGGAGGGGGGAGGTTGGAGGAGGAGAAAAAGGAGAACATGCGTTAAGAGGAGCGGTTTAACATGACAAAGCTGTTCTCGGTCAATCCCTTTTTATTCTTCTCTCTGGTTCTTCATGAGCCTTTTTCTCTTTTTCCCTTGTTTTTTGCTTTTTCTTCCCCTCTTAATATCCACCTCCCGCTGCCCCATTGCAAATCCACTTCACCCCTCCCATGCAAATAGCCCTTTGCCCCCTCCATATTTATGATCCTGCTTCCTCAACTGTTGAATATGCGCTTAAGTACAGAGTGCCTTGAATACTGCCAGTCAGATTGGATTAGCGGGTGTCAATGGGTAGATAACCTCTCTGTTAGAGTGAGTGAAGAGCAAACACTCGAGCATAAGCATTCATGACGGTCCTTTGGCCTTCAAACGCTGAGAGGCACTGTGTGTGGCACTCAGCCCAATAAAGATGAATAGGCTCTTGTTAATGTGTATAGGTGTAATTTCAGGGCTGGCAGACTAGCTTGCGTATGAGTAGCATTTTCCAGGATTTTCTTCCCCAGTGTATTGTTTTTAAATGCAGAGGCCAGAAATGTGTTCACAATCACTCCGCTAATTGAAATCATCTGTCTTAAATCTCGCAACAATAATGTTTTTGAATGACTTACTGTGCTCCGAGCAGGCTTTTCTGCTCCACCACCCACCTCTTTCTGATGACTTTGTCAGATGAATATTTTGGAGGCCTGTTGCTCTATAAGACTGAATTATATGTTTCTGGTTATGTTGACATTTACTTCCATGAGAAGAAAATGAGCCCAGGCTGATTATGGTTAGACAAAAAAAAATAGTTCCCTTAAGACGACTAAGAAGCTTTTACATCACACACAGACTGTAAATATCCACAGATTGTTCTGTAACCTTCTTCTCAGTTGCTTGCTGTGATGCATTTTTTTTCACTCTTTTGTATTGTATTTCCAAACAACCAAATTTGTATTTTCCTGTAAGCGAGGAAAAAGTGCAGAAGCTATTCCTTAGTCAGCTGACTAGTGGTAGATATCACCATTAGTGTCATTAGTAGGGCTGTCTAATAATATAATAATTTCGATTTTGCGATCCATCCATCCATCCATTTTCTGAACACCCTTGTCCCTCAGTGGGGTCGGGAGGGGTGCTGGTGCCTATCTCCAGCTAACGTTCCGGGCGAGAGGCGGGGTACATCCTGGACAGGTCGCCAGTCTGTCGCAGGACGATTTTGCGATATATATTGATATTTTCTTTCCTAGAAAAAAAATTATATTCATCCGCAAGTATCGTAACATCCAACTGTCACCTTGCTCACTCACACTGCTTGCATCGCTGGGAGAGTGATTAGGTCATCCAGCCACTAGTATCGCTGTAGAGCATTTCTGCCAAGTTACCCGCCTAGTAGATACTTGATTTACACAGAAGAAGTGTGGGCAGTGTAATGGCGTCGAATATCGTTCCAGCACCCTCTTACTTTAAAGCAGATGTGTGGGCGTACTTTGGCTTCAAAAAGAAGAAGGATAGAGACTCCTGTCACACCTTGCTAAAAGGTATCCTCAGAGAGAGTCTTCTCCACCGCTGGAGATATCATCACTGCACAGAGAAGTGCGCTTCTCCCAGAGCATGTCGATCAGATTCTATTTCTAAACGAAAATCTGAGGAGAATGTAGCTCACTTGGTCTGCAGATTAGACTTTCTGTTTAGAGTTCACTTATTAGTCAGGGTCTATCTACAGGCCTTAAGCTGCTCTGCTAAGATGGGTACATATGAAGTTAAATGTTCTTCATTACTTGAATTATATACTGTTTTGGAGAAGTCATATTACTGTTTACTTACCAAGCGCTTAGAGTGATTCCTTCAGATGTTAAGTGTCAAGGTTTAAAAGGTATCAAACTATTCAGAGCAGGGTACTTGGTGCACTTTATTTACTTTACAAATGCATGTAAGCTACAGTTTGTACTGTTTCAATTAAAAGAAACATGTTTTCTCACCACTTCTTTGATTCATTTTGTCCAGCTGTCAACTTTAAGCCTGTGTCTATGTCCAACCAGAGCCAGGTATTGTGTAGTTGGTGCTTTTAATCAGTTTTCAGTTAAATTAATTCAATCCAACTCTATAACAGTCACAAAATGTCACCAAAATCACTCTGTCCCTCTAAAATCTTTCAGAAAATTGCAAAAGTGTATTGAATTGTATCATTTGCTGAATATTGCAATATATATCATATCGTGAGCAGAATATCGTGCATCGTATCGTATTGTGAGATTTTTGTATCACTACAGCCCTAGGCATTAGTATGTTGTTCATCTGCTTCTACCTTGTCCCCAGAATGTCTCCTCATACACAATTTAAAATGCACAAGTAACCAAGTGTTTTCAGCGGGGCAACTCTAGAATGACTTCCCGTGGTACTTATAAATAAAAGTATCAGAAATAGATTCAGGATGTGGAGCTTAAAGCACCCACTGCATAGCCAGGACTCCTGCTAACAGCTTGTACTTTGCTCAGACTTTGACTAGAAACATTGACTCATTTTAATATGATAGCATCTTGTACCAGAGGTATACCACGCTCTGGAAGCTAGAGCCTTTACCACACTTTGAAAATATCAGATAAGGATGTTTCTGTCTGACTGATGATGTAAACAATTGAAAGGCATGATTCATTTAAACAAAAAATTACACTTGGCTCTCGTGGCTCCTAATCATTCTCATCTCTGATCAGTTGCTGGAAACACTCTGGAAGATCTGCTCCCATCTCGTCTGTTCTTGTTTTTGTTTTTCTTTTTTTGCTGGGATGTGGAAACTGGAAGCAGGCAGAGCAGAGTGAATGATGCAGACATTTAGTTTTCTCCCTAGATGCTTCTCTTTCAGAACATTTCGGCACCGTTTCAGGCCTGCAGCAATTTGAGTGAAAAGGACTTTGGTTTTTGGTGCTCCGGATTTAGCAACTGCTTTTTGCCCTCTACGGACTCCCGATATGCATGAACGCAAGTTTGTTTATTGTCTGAGAGGACAGAACCAAACAGTCGGCCACTTTAGCACAATCATACAGCCGACGGGGAGAAACTCAGCAAAACGTTGCAGCTTAATGTTTCATGATGGTGTTTTTTTCTTTCTCTCTCTTCATTTTTTGCTGTTGAAACTGAAACATTTCGTGATTGTTTCATATGTGTGTGTGCTGTTGTCATGCTCTAAAGACGGTTCTCCAGGAAGGGCGTTTTATTTATCTTTAAGAAAGTTGGCAAAGGCAGATTGCACTCTGGTTGCACCTTCTCGATTTCTTTCTCTCTTTCTCTCTTTTTTTTTTATTAAGCGGTGAAGCAAACGTTGTACTCTCTTTTTTTTTTTCTTACTTAATCTCTGATTTTGAAATGTTTTTCTCGCATCTGAAGCTCGCCGGTGAACCCTGACCCTCCTGCCTGAACATTTCCCAACCTCTGATTGCTCATCCTGACGGTAAACAACTGATTACCGCCGATAAACGTCGCGCCCAGTTGTGAATCCTCCATTATCATTAGAAGAATTTATCAACTCCAGCCTCAGGTTTGGATTCACACACTCTCGTCCTGCTTGTTGTGGGTTCATAGAGTGTTACAGGCCCTTTTAAACACCCTTCCCTCCATGTCCCCTCCCTCTGCTCTATCTGCACTCATCCTGGCACCCTTTGACCGATGAGGGCTGACTTTTGGCCTCTTTTGCCCACCGTCATGTCCCTCACCATCAACTCATGCCAGATATCTCCGGTCACCCTGGGGCATGTGCCAGCTTGCATAGCTCCACTGTCACTCAGCAGGCATTGACAGCTGCTGGGTTAGAGTTGCTCTCTGGTACTTTACAGGGGGAGAGTTGATGTTAGAGGTCACCCGGTTCTCCCTCTCCCCCCACCAAGATGATATTTTCTTGATCCTCTTGATGCTGTTTTCTTTCCCCCATCGATTCAGAAATGATGGAACAAACGCAGGATGTTGAAATGATTGAACTTTTCATATTTTGTAACCTTAACATACCTTAGTTTTTATGAACAGATAGGTTAAACCTAATATTTCTTTTTCTATCTTCACTAAGTCTGTTGTAATAAGAAACCAATTAATCACATGAAAAATTAAAATGAGCTCAATTGCCTTTCTAACAGTCAAGGGGAGTTTGAGTTAGACTTTATAATCCATTTTATTTATGGTTTCAGTTATTTAGTTTTTATGTCTTTATTTGTTGTGTTTTGCTTTGGATATTTAAAATGTCTTCCAGTTGTGGTATTAAGTGTTCTTTACAAAATCATAGTTTTAGTCTATAAGAGGGAGAACTTGTGTTATTATGCCATTATCAATATATTACTTGAAAATGGTCGCAAAACAACAATATTGTCATTTATCGCAGTTATTCTTGGGACAATTTATAGTCCAGTACAATTTATTGTGACAGACTTGTAATTATCTATTATCACCCTAAACATAACTATCAATATGGTGAAACATGGCGGTGGCAGCATCATGCTGTGCTTTCCTTCAGTAGGGATGAGGAAGTACATACACACACACACACACACACACACACAGACACACACACACACACACACACACACATATTTTAGAGTATTGACTTTAACACATTTGTTTTGATGAATTTATTACATCAAATTTCGCACGTTAAAATTTTCAGCTGCATTTCTGTTTACATACAAAGGAATCTTTGTATTTGCACGTTTCGCACAAGCAACATCAGTAAACAGTGATGGGGGGGGGGGAGAGATTCTTGAATTGAAAATGTGGCTTATTTTGTCAGTTATTTCAATTAAAATGTGACTATTTCTAACTATTATAATTAATCATGTAGAGGTCTTCCTTCCACTGCATAATTATGCAGCTATGAGGTGACAGCAGGTGAAAGAGTTGAATACTGTTTTTAGCTGTGGTCGGTGTGCTGCAGCTGTCCTCTGGTTTGTCAGGAGGTTCCTAATCACCTACAACAGTGGCGGCATGTGGCAGCAGTCGCTATAGTTAACATGAAGTCTTTGCTCAAAGTCTGGTCACCTTTGCCATCTGCTCAATCACTCGCCGCCCCCCTCCCCCCAAACCCCATCTCCCCACCCCCGGCCTCCTCACACCCCTCAGACTCTAGTTTGTCCACACATGTTCTCTACTCCGTCTCCATTTGCCGTCGAGCCGATGATAGTGAAACCTGGTGTGGTGATGTGTTGGAGGCCTGGCGGCTTGGGGATTGTCCCGGGGAACACGGCGGCGCTGATGAAAACCAGACATCCCCCTTCTCCCCCCACCCCAGGAACATGCTGACGCACACAGAGCACCCGTCACTGAGCACGCTCTAAACCCAGACGCCTTTCATTCCCCTCACTAGCAGCTAACAAAAAATAAAAAATCTGCATGACATCCACATATGCTGTTTTGCAAAATGAAAAAGAAAATACATCGCTCTGATGTAGAAATGTCATAAATGTCTTATGTTAAGTACAATCTGGTTTTTCCCTGCGTCTGCTCCAACACAAACACCAGCGTTCCCTGGTGTGGGGGAGAGAGATCATCAGAACAGGCAGGACTCCGCCTTTCCCTTCGGCCTCTGCTCAGGCCCTCGTTTATCACTCACATATGTGTTTTTCTTGCTGTAGCACTCTAGATGGGTTAGTTATCTGGCACCAATTTGGAGCACCATCCATCAAGATTTAGATACGGTGGCGAGCGGAGCCTTCAAACGCAGGCCGCAACGGCCGTAGCCGCGGCTGTCACTTCACATTTCAGCTTGCGAAATTTAAATATCAACAATGTTTGAAAAAAAAAAAAAAAAAAAAAAAAAGAAAGAAAAACAACAGACTGTCATTTCACCGAGACGTCAGCCATGGCGTGCTCCGTGACATTTCTTCGTATCCTGCCTCTCGGTGAAACGACGTCGTATAAATATGGAAAATGCTCGCCATAACCTGATTTTAGACGTTCTGTGTAGACGTGCCAGGTTTAAATTCTTTCCACAACCGTTGGAGATTCTTCATAAATCTCTCTCTCACCCCTCCTGTGACTCTGACATGTTGGGCTGTAGGATCTACTTGGAGCAGCTCAGATGGAGCGCTATCAGGCAGCCGAATCCACGGCGATACGAGCTGAGCCTCTGACGGGATGAGATGATGATGATGATGACGAGCAGCATGCTGAAGGAGCATGACACATTGACAGCGGTGGAAATATTCTTTTAAACTGTGATATCACAGATTTTTTTTTTTTTGTCTTGCAACAGCATGACAACTCCAGTCTCCTGTAAGTTAACTAACTTTAGCTGCAGCTAGCGACTATTTTAGTTATCAATCAATCCATCCATTATTCAGACGGTTAATCGGAGGTGAATGAATTTTAGTCTCATTTGCTGCTTTTTGTTGAGTAAGCAATTATCAGTTACTCTCAGATACTCCACTGCACACGCATAATAAAACCAATGGTGTTCAGAGTGCAACTCACGGATACGATACATTTTATTCTCAAGTTCTTGGGCACCCCGCCCCTTACTTATGTCTCCCTGGACAACTGCCCAGACCAAGCAAAGAAATCATCCCTCATCAGGTTGTGATGGCGACAGCAGACTTCTGTGTCAAAATTAGCTACTTTCAGTGCCAGTAAGGTGTTCAGAACAACTTCAAAGGAAGCACAGGGGTGTAAGAAGTGATTGAAAAGGAAACTGTGTTTTCTGCAACATATCAAGACGTGTGTGCAGTTCTTACAGGCTGTGAGAGAGATAACAGGAAAGCTGAACAGAATGCAACAAAGTAAGTCTGTTTTATGCTTTGGCACTTGTTGGCTGCAACTTCCTCCCACACGCAGCGTGATGTCAGCGCTGCTCCTAATATGAAGACTTGATGCCCTCTCATTACAGGAAGGCCGGGACTGTAACGAGATTAAATCAGTTCCTAAATGTTTCAATGCTACAGTTTTAAAGGAGGAATCAGAACCATCAGCATCAGTAGGATGGAGCTTTCTTGACTGTGATCAACTCATTATTAAACTTTTAATTCAATAATTAAATAAAACAGTGGCTGTAAAATAGATATGGTAGAAAAATTGATTTTAAACCAAAAACAAGTAGTTTTGACACATTTAATGAACAGGAAAAACATGTAGAATATTCAGTATTTGACCTGCTGATCAACAATCACATCTGAGCGAGGGAAAGTTTCCACATTTAACCCCGTGGCCGACTGACTGATTCGTTCATCTCTGTTTTGCATCCATGCTGGCATTGGAAGCATGCATTGTGAATATGAAGGAATTGCTTTTGGCGAAGGAATCAGCGAGGATCCAGATAATAAAAGGATTTTGTGTTCTTAAGATGCTCAGTGGGAGGAGGCAGAAGATGTCACTGGAAGGCTTAGAGTGGAGCTGCAGGCCGGCCTGGATGAGAGCTGGTAGACTGGATTTGGTTTCAGTGAGTAGGCGAGAGGCTCAGTGTCTGCTCCCCTGGCCTGTGGTAACCTCCACTCCTTTCTCTGGTGTGTGTGTGTGTGTGTTTTCACTTGCGCTGCCGTCAGATTTCTCTTTCTATCCCGCCTAATAAGTGTTCACACACTTTGTTTGAACACAAATACACACCCCAGTGGTGCTGCCCCTCTCACAGCCTGTCAGTGTGAGTGAGATCGCCTCATGCTCACCTCGCCTCGCCTCGTGTCGGGACGCCGTGTTGGTAATCAGTGCGAGGGCAGCAAACGAACTCCAGCTGGTTTTTCACCGTGACTTTCTGTTAGAGAATGGCAGGATTTCCCTGGAAGCGAGGAAATGGTCCCATTTCCCCTTTAGGTTATTCAACATTGCTGACAAAGCATCCCACATCCACGTGGGCTTCACATATTCTGGCACACTTCCTATTTTCCTGCTTGAAAACATTTGTACAAAGTCTGGACTGGTGCATTCACAGCCGTTTTTATATTTTTGGCATGTTACATCCTCAAACGTCAATGTTTAATTGGAATTTTATGTGATTTATGGATTTAACTCCATCCATTTTCACACCAACTTACACCAGTTTCCCCATCACTGCTTATTAAAAGCACCCCCACAGGATGATGCTGCCACTACCATGTTTCTTTCTAGAGATGGGCTGTGCTTTATATAAAGTCCAAAGTCATCTTTAGAGACATCATTTTCAGATTGGTTGTTCTATAAAAAAAAAAAAAAAAAAAAAGTCAAATGCTTAATTGCATGTTGTATAATTAGGGCCGGAACTTTAACACATTACTGTTGATAAATTAACTACATAGATTTTAACACATTATTTCTTTTTAGAGCAAATTAATCGCATTGTTTTGTTTTGTTTTTTCATACAAAAATCCCAAGATGGAACTTTTGTATTTGCATATTTCTCGTAAAACTGACATAAAGGCGACACCCGCTAACAGTGGTTAGCTAACATCCACTTCCCTTCTCATTTCTGTTTCAAAAAAACAATGTGGTTATACGCTGGAGAAGACTATTCCTGTGTTCAAGTTGTGCTAAAGAGTTGGCCTATGTGAAGCTATTCAAGCCTAAAATAGCATCTCCATGCTAAACATGACATCCCCAATGCTAATGTCAGCGTCCAGAGTCCACATTTGTAAAGACGTTTTTTTTTTTTGTTTTTTTTCAAAAAAGTTCCATGAATAAAATTTTTAAAATGATGTTTATTTTCTCTATGTATAGTTTTCAATTAATTGAAAACATTCTAATGAAGTCCCACTACTATTATTAATATTTCCTGTCAAGTCGTAGTAGTTGCTCATGAGAAACACTGAATGATTTGAAATCATTTCTTCTCCTCAGGCTGATATGTTTGATATTCTGACCTGTATGGTTTTGCATGGTGGTCTCTACATTAGCCATCCAGTTGCATCCTTTCTGGAACTCTCCGCAGACGGCCTTTCTGTAGCATCGTTGTCTCTTCTGCCTGATTTCTTGACGTATGGATGGAAGCACAAATGCATCTCTATATGTTCTCCCATGTGCTTAACACATGGGGTGTGTGTGTGTGTGTGTGTGTGTGTGTGTGTGTGTGTCCAGTTAATCTAATGGAACCCAGGGAACACAATGGACTATGACTGAGGAGGGATCAGCAAAGTGGAAGACCCTCACCCCCTCGTCCTTGCCGTCTTTATTTTCTCCTGCTCTTTTTGCCACAGTCCAGCCTGCCAGCCTGCTAATGTCGTTAGCTTCCCTCTAATGATGGTGAAATCTCATTAATATGCTTCACAGCCAGGCCCCAGTAACCAGTGGGGATGAAGGTAATCAAATCTCAAAGGACTAACCTAGAGCTGAACCCCGAGAACTGCTCCGCTGCGCCGGGCTGAGACAGTCCAGTGTCTGGAGGCTTGATAATAGCCAGTGGGCTCCAGTGTCTGTGTGGTTCTCTGCCTTTGAAGTGGTGATGTTAGCCAGACCATCTTCTGTCAGGATTACGGCTCTGAGTAGTTCATCATCTGAACAGATTTCATTTCAGCCTGGTGGTGCTTATTTCTCTGTTTAAGTCTAGCCCGGCGCTAATTGCCGGCGTGGCTTCAGCCTGAGCGCACTCGCTGCTCTTTATGTACGCAGAGCAAGCTTAAACAGCAGCACTGGACAACACTCTAACTTGAACCTAATTAAATCACTGATACTTTGGCTCTGTAGTGTGAGAGCAGCTCAGAACATGAGCTGTTAAGACATGTGGGTGCAGATGAATTCCACGCCATCGTGTCCAGCTCACGGTAAAATCACAAAAACCAGGCTTAAGTATCGGCCCTGATGCTGAAAACAATCAATCTATAAGGACAGATCTACTCAGTCTAACTCTATGCTTTGTGCCGAGTGATGTCATGCTTTATTATTTATTTTACATATTTAAAATTCCTTTGTGAATCATTTGAAAAAAGTTCTGTTGCAGTTTATTTTTTACATGTTTTTTTGTTTTAAAAGGTTTTGTTGGCTCTAATGGCCTTTATTTGAACGTAGTTTGACAGGAAATAGGGTAATGAGACAGGGGGAAGACATGCGGCAAATGTCACCAGGCTGGGAATCGACCCTACGCCCACCAGCATGAGGACTAAGGCCTCAATACATGGGTTGTGTTTTGCCCCTGCGCCACCACATCACCCCCTATTTTTTACATGTTTGACCAAAGCAGTCAACCAGTTTATTTATTTTACATTTGGATGTTCTACTCCTACTTGCTCTTACTGAACAAAATTAAAGTTGTTGTTTCATGTTTGACTTTACTAAACCTCTGATATCGATATCAGAAGTGAAAACAGTGGATCCCTAGTATAAAATAACACGTCCTTAATTCAGCTGCCATATGGAACCTCTTATTTTGCAGCTTTTTATACTTTTTAACCAGTGTGTCTGCTCGACAATTAGAGCTATTGTGGCTCGCTAACTCAACTTTTACAGTTCCAAGACAGATGGCTGAGGCTTCTTTAGTTTCCACACCATAACATGATGTAAAAGTGAAGGGCCAACTTTACCAGATTTTATTGACTCTGCTATTAAAGTGTGCAAAAAGCCTTAAAATAAGTGTTTGTTTTATTTGGTGGTGACATGAACTTATGCTGCTCTCCAACAGTCCTACCTTGTTTGTCACAGTTCAGGTTGTTTTTTTATGTTTAAGTTCCTTTATGTTTAAGAGCTGAACTTGCATTTTTATGCCATTATTGATATTGTCACCTTCCTGAAATAATGGCTCAAGTCATTTTTTACTAAGTGATTTTGGCAGGAAAAAAAGCCACTACCTCTTTTTTTTTGCAAAAACATGATTAGGAAAGTGAAAACATGTTACTTGAAAACGGCATCAAAAGAACAATATTATTATTAATCGCCATACTCACTGGTAGAATGTATCATCCACCAAATCTCTTGTGACAGGCCTAATTGTTTTTACTATTTTGAATGTCAGAGACAAGCCAGCCTCTGAATCACAGCATATTTGAATGCCAGAGAAGCAGGAAGAGATTGATTACCAACAATGGTCCTGGAAACCATTGTTGGTTGAAAGGAAGGCATAAATTTAAAAATAGCTTCAGTTTGAATTAGTTTGTAGGAATTTCTTGAGGAGCCATTAATGCATTTAAATGTACTTAAATCAAAAAGTTGGATTCTTAAAAAAAAAAATTAAGTCCAGTGAATGAATTAATTTTAAGGATTTTTGTGGGGTAGGGTTAGCAGCCGCACCACATATGGATGCTATCAATCCTCAGCCGTCCAGAGTTTGATTCCCAGCTCTGACCTTTACTGCATGTCTTCCTACCTTCTTTCTCTGCCCACAAATAAATACCACCGCAGGGTTTACTCCATAAAACCTGCTAAGCCCGGTGGCAGGGGGCGCTAGGGGCAGTGATCCAGCAGCAGCAAAAATTTTGATGTGCACGAACACGCATCATAATTTTGAGACAATAGCATGTTAGTCCAAAGGGCAGGTGCGTAGACAGCTCCCCCAGTTTAATGAGTCAACTATAAACATAGCTTAATCTGTCTTTACTGTCACTCTTACTGGTGCTTTGAAAAGACAAACGATCCTCAGCCTGGTCGGGAGGAAAGTAAAGCCTGTTGGCCTGCCAGGCCTGTAGTCCACTGGGGAAAATCCTGTCACTAGTACATTTTATTTCTAAAAAGAAATAAATATTTTTTAGGCTTTTTTCCATATGTTTAATAAATATTGTGCTGTCAGACGCTTGCAGTCGGATATGAGACATGACATCATCCAATCAGTCTGGTTTCAAGTCTGTTCTTACTGGTTGCGCCTGATTGTTGTTGTGCTGTTTATTCCCACCGCTGGGACTGGTTTGACAACATGCCAGCCGGCACGCTTTAACCCCGCCTCTGCTTTGATTAATGGTTTATGGTTCACCTTCCTACCAAGAGTCCTCAGCTCCATCATACGGCCATAAGAACCGTCACTCACGACCCACAGTGAGGCATTCTTATGGACACAGGAGACATATTTTCCACTGTGTTTGTGCTGTAGGGAATCTGCATTTCCAGAGGTCGAAGTAAGCTCCTCAGGCAAATCTGAGTCACTTCTTTCAGTTTCTCTGCGTCCGATTTCTTTTTCACTCTGCAAATGGCACAATAGTCGGGCTTGTGCGCCGCTTGGTGCTGATCAGAGTTTGGGCTGGCGAGGGCAGCCAGTGGCCTAAGTAGCCCTGTCCTCGCCGCTCAGCCTCTGTGTTTCTGTCCACAGGCTCGCCATTGTTTTTGCTCCATGCCTCGGCTTGACAGGCCTCCAGAAGCCAGCCATTGTATTTAATTACAGGTCGTCGGCCCCCTCACAGACTCTTGTCCTTGTGTCCTAGATTTCCATGGGTGCTCTCATTAAGAGAGTGTACATTCAGTGTGTGTTTGAGAGAGAGAGAGAAAAATAATCACTTCCTTAATTGTCCTGTGAAAGCCTATACATCTGAGATTTTAGCGTAAATGTCTCCTGCTCTTCAGGATATGTTTTGTTGTTTTTCTTCAGTATTCATGCCCATGAAGCACCTAAAAGCACCACGCCGTAATGAGCCTCCATCAAGCATGGCGGGATAGCGAAGAGAACTGAATGGATTTCTGATGATGAGAAAATTTGCCACGTTATGTAAGCGCTGTCCTGTTTAAGCTTAATTTGCTTGACGTGAGCGTAGTGACTGTGTCGCCCAGCGGCATGGGCCACAGCGGCTCCCAATGACCCCTGCGTCAACGGCGAAGCTTCCCTCGCTGCCCCTCCATCTCGTGTCGGCTTCACTTAAAACTCTGCTACTCTGCTTTGTTCTGGAGACATTGCAGACGTTTCTCATCGTCTTTTTTTGTGCTTCTGGTAAAAAAAAAAAAAAAAATGTTTCGCTGTGTGCTAACAGAAGGACTCTTTCACCTACATCTTGGCCTTTTTGTTTGGCTCCTCTCCACTTTCTGACTGGAGAAACTTGTATTGATTTTTCCCTTTACCCCCAGCTGCTATCTGCAGCCTGTGGAAAGTGGTACAGAATGTCTGGATCTTTCAGTGTTTAAACCCGACGCCACAGTGAGACCCGTTTTGTTTCAGAGTGTTTTCAGAAGAAGACACCGAGCGCAAAACTTCCTCCTTCATGAAATGTAACCATAATCTGAGTGGCGTCAGATTTTAGCAGTTGTGGGATTTCTCTTTTGTCTTTGGCAGCCATTTCTCCTGCTTCTAGCACAAGACTCACGTTTATCTTGGTTGTGTTTACCTAGAATGCTCTGAGCTATAGTCCACTTTCTGCTTCAGGAGCGGTCTCTGGTTCGCTTGGCGTTCACATTTATCATTTGAACCTTACCAGAGTTCACTTCAGTCGAACCCAGACTTAGGTTTGTAAACTTAAAATGCACATCGGACTTCAGTTGCTCATTTTATGTGCGATTTTCTAATATAACAGGTTGGAATTTTCTCCTTTCTTTCTGTGATAGAGTTCGGTTCTGCAATAAGATATCAGTTCATTTTTACACCCCTTTACCATTCCGTCTTTAGTTGGCATCCCTCACTGATGTTGAAATGAAATATGGAGCTTCCTGTAGTTGGGCTTAACTGTACCGACACCAGAAACCCACTTGGACCTGCTTGATGTGTTTCAGATAACAGACTGCGAACAGGCATCTTACTGTGACTCCAGCTCTCGCCATAGGGCACTTTATCGTATCCCTCTCCCTCTTTCTCGTCTCACTTTTTTCTAGTAAAAACAACGTTTCTGCTGCATGAACATATTATTGTTTTTAGAAGCTGTAATTCTTCCTTTTGAATTTCTTCATCTGGAGCATGATGAAGAAATTCATCATGCAGCAGATGAATTACCTCTTTAAACTAATTGTTGCTGGCAGCGAAGGGAATAAAGGAAGTAAATCTTTAGAGCTCCTGTAGACAAAGCCAGCACAGACATGTTAGAGTTTCAAAAGCTGCATAAAAACAAATGTTGTTATGAAGCCACTTGGCAGAGCTGCACTATTTTAAAGTGTTCAAAGCATCCAGATCTTAGCTGGTTTCACCCCCCCGCCCGCTTTCACCTGACCAGAGCTGACTCGGCATCAGCACTCACCAAAGCAGGATTATAGACTTATTTGGTCAAGGGTTGGCCGTCTGTTGTGTGAATGCAGATTTTATAATTGATTTAAGAGCAGTGTTTTGTAACACACTCGCTATTGAGGTCAAAGTTCAACACTTATTACATGAAGACGGGTTTTGTCCTCCGTAATCCCAGCGCCACATGTTGTTTGCTTGATCGGTGTAACCTTGACAGTCACCAAGATGGTTTCTGTTGCACCTGCCGCGCGCGGCGCCGGGGCCCCAATAAAGCAGCACAGCCTCGCAGCGCGCCCTGCTTGTTTTGAACAAGTCCGTTGCGGCCTGCGATCGATCCTGCGGTCAATCCAAACACGCACGCTTTAGAGAAACGCTGAATTTTTAAAACGGAGGCAGAACTCCAGGTCTTGTATCAGACAAAGCCAGACTTTGAACCTCTCTGCCGGTGTGGCCGCCTCGTGCTGCTCTCATACACGCAGAGTGAGCTCTGAGTGAGATTTCTGCAGTGATTCCAGTCGTCGCTGGTTTGATAAGAGACATTTTCCTGCTGAAAACACCTGATAAGAAGCTCGTCTTTGACTTTAAAGCTGCTTTTCCAATGCATACCAACAAGTTAGCCTTTTGGTGATTTGTATTGGACGTAGCTAAGCATATCTGTTTGTAGGAGGAGGGGAAAAAAGGGGGATTGCTTAAGATCTGCGTCTGGGTGTGCGCTCGCGAGATTGTGTTTATCCCCGCTCGTATCGATTAACGCCGAACGTCTGTCAGCGCCGGCCTGATAGTGTTTGCTAACCCCGCTCTCATAGCTCTTGCTCTCTTTTTTCTCCTCTCTCTTCTCCGCAGCAATAGAGACCCAGAGCACCAGTTCAGAAGAGATAGTGCCAAGCCCACCCTCGCCTCCCCCGCCGCCCCGCGTCTACAAGCCCTGCTTTGTGTGCCAGGACAAGTCCTCAGGGTACCACTATGGTGTCAGCGCCTGTGAAGGCTGCAAGGTAAGACTTCCCCCGGCCTTCCTCTGAATCTGCCAAGCAAGCAAGATTTTCAGCAATCTCACAGCCTTTGTGTGATTTGCACCACAAAAAAAGCGAAGGGGGGGAAAAAACCCCTCCTCTTTACCGTTTTCAGGCCACATTGTCACATCTTTTTGAGATTTTTCAGTATTAGATGCTAGAATCTGATTGAGAATCATAAGTTGGGAGTTTTTCTTAAATCTAACTTGCATTATCGTCAGTGGGACTTGTCCCATCACTCCTACATTATACGACAAGATCTCTCCTGTGATGGGTGCTCCTCTTATCACACGGTGTATGAAATGACATCTGTGCAGGATTTCAGATATCGGTGCCGCTGACATGTCCAAACCAGGGCTGCCTGTTATCAATGCCGCCCTGTTGCACAGGTGTTGAAGAGGCTGCGTAACCCTCGTCTGCTCCCTTATCAGCTGATAGTTGCTGTGGGTGCATACATGTTCTCCTGCTGGAGGTGAACACACAGTATGTTTATCTAGCCGACTCCCTGGCAATGCAGGCTGGTAGTTTAACATAGGATGAGACGGGGGTGTCCTTTTACTTTAAATGTATTCACATAAAGAGTTGCACTGGTCTGAGTTGAGATTTTGAGCAGGCAAAACTGATTTAACTGAGTTTTATTATTTTAAAACATCGTCTGTAGCAGATCTGTCTTTCTCCTGCTTGGAAATGTTGGGTAGAAAGTCTTGAAAACTGCAAAAGTGTAGTGATGGTCTGGATGAATGGCTGGCATCTCTGTGGAAAATAGTTTCTGCAGGAACTTGCTGGTAAAAAGTGTTTGTTTTATAGATTTTCATATCCAGTCCTAAATTCTTGTTAACTCCTGAAAAGCTTCTCTTCCCTCAAACTATCCTTTTTCCTCAGAGAAATAAAACCCAAACGTTTGTTAGTAACGACCATCATCTGCGTCGTGAAAGAAAACACATATTCAATATTTGGCTGGAGAACGCCAAACTTTAGAAGTCGACTAAAATCCATCATCAAAGCTGCGTTTGAAGGTGATGAAGCCGGGTAAACACCGGAGACAGCTGCCAGAGCCGGGCAGCGCCAACATCTCTGGATCTAATTCCACTGAACTTACCTGGATTTTTCTAAAAAGAAAATTCCGAAAAATTCTTGCGTATTGTTTACCGAAACAATGATTTCTGAGTTTCCAAAAGCGGGTCACTGGGTCACAAGGCTGTAGAAACTGAAAATGCTCCAATTTCCGTCACCAGCCAGTTTCTCTTGAACACTGCAGAAAGTCTTTGTTATGAGAAATGATCCGAATAGCCCAGTTAACCAAGGAGTTTGTCACATAAATGCTTTTTACATAAAATAAAAAAAAATTAAAAAGGAGCTAAAAATCAGCCTGTTCTGTTACTGATACAGGACTTTGTAAAACCAAAGTCTTGATGCACCATGGAGCTGTATTATAGGTCCTGTACATTACTGGGTTCATTATTTTTCCAAACACTTTGTCCTGTAACATTTACTTCCTGCTGGGGTCATGTGACCTGATCTGATCTGAGCAGACCTGAATAATGAGTCGTTCAGTTTGGGAGTTTACTGCAGAATGCTCTCCAAAACAAACAACTGGTTCCCCTCTAATTATCACCAAGACAAATCTGGAATAGTTTTTTTTTTACCTTAACAAAAAGGTTTCCAGTAATCAGACTGATTGAAATAATACATATAATAGTTTATTAGGCTGTTCCTAAACCAGTGCTCCTCTAAGTACATTTTTGCTCCTTTTGTTTATTCCTTACTCTGTTAGTACTGCTCGGTGGTACAACTCTTCAAATTCAGTTTCTGGTTTAATTGATTTTTTTTCTCGTCTTTTTTTCTTTGAAAGAAATTACAAATGGCCAAATTATTTTTCAAAAACTGGCTTTTATTTCAGCCATTCCTTCTGTTAGTTGACCTGAATTCAGAACCAGATCATTTGAAACTGTAAATAAAACAAGATGGCAGCTCCAGGTGGATTGACATGACCTGAAGTATAGAAACCCAATGAGTGCATTGTTGGAAAAAGTATCTTAATTTTCCTAAAGCTAAATCTTCCTGTTACTGTATTGGTTTAAAAGCTGATAAACAGAAGGAAGCAGAGCCAAGTCTGACCTGTAGTCTCTACACTAGTTGTTAGTGGTGACCTGTGTGTGTGGGGTCGTGACTGAGGCTTTAGTGGGTCACTCCCACCACAAAGCCTCATCCAACCTCCGCCGTGCGTTCCCACCTATGAGCCCACTCCATATCTGCAGTGCTAATTTGAGAAGTTTGGGGAGGTTGGGGCGTATCTCTGACTTCAGAGGAGATGTCTTGGTATAGGATGTTCAATAATTCAACACTACAGGCAACCAGGAGAATGTATATAGTGTCTCATTTGAGACTGGGGTAAGTTGAGGGTTAGCAGCATCAGCTTCGCTGCAGCATGCCAAACTACAAAGGCATGTCCTGGGGGCTGCAGCGAACTGGGGAAACGAACAGGGGGGTTGGTGGGATGGGGTGTGTGTGTGTGTGTGTGTGTGTGTGTAGGGGGGGGTGCATGTCGAGCTCTGCTGCTTGGGAGACAGCTCTTTCATTTGTTGTTAAAGAAGTTCCACCGCCCGCACATACTTACCAGGAATGCACTTTTTTTTTCTTTTTTTTTGCCTGCAGATATTAACACTTAGCGTTAAATATGCATAGCCACCTCTTCGTGTTTATGTTTCTATCTTGGAGGCACGGCAGTGCGGAGAAGTTTGCGGTATCCAGCGCCATCAGACCCCCCCCCCCCCCACCTCGACAGCCGCTCTGCAGCTCCGGTTTGCTGCAACTTTTCGGATGTAATAAAAACGAACGCCCTCTACGTCCGCGGTGCCTCGGTCAGCTGCCCTGTAGCAGGGTGGAGGGTACTGTCATGGGCTCAGGAAGCTTTCCACAGGCACACTCTCAGTAGGAAGCTGGGTTAATCTGGGAGCAGCGTGAAAGTCGCAATTCCTCCACTTCCCACTTAATGACACAGAGGCACGGTGCATACATAACGTCTCCTAACGCCGACGAGACGAGAAGCACATGACGAACGGAACCTTCAATGTGTTGTTGCCACCCCCCATCTCTTCCCCTGCACTTCTCGCAGCTCTCATCTCCTCCGATCTCTGCAGGGCAGCTGACAGGCCCGCTGAGGGCTCTTGTCGCCGGTTGGATTAAGCGCTGATACAAAAAGAGGCTTAAAGGCCGTAGGAAGCAATGACTCCAAAAAGGAGGAGGAGGCTCTAGTGTGAGGGGGGAGGGAGCGCCGCCCAATCAGAAGATGCTCTGAGGGGCCACCTGCGCCTCGTGTGGTCGGGAGGGAGCGGGTCAATCCCCTCGTGACATCCAGGTCAGGGTCAGGACTCTATCGGATCAAAGAGGAGACAGAAACGCGCACACAAAGACCAGCAGACTAATCCCGCCGCAAATAAAATGAAAACTACAAACCTTGTTGTCCTTCGCCGTGTTATCTGCCCAGACTCTCTCATCTGTAGTCCTGAGGAGACGCTGCTGCACAGCTGTTTCCGCACTTTAACTAACCCAAAGAAACCCGTGGAATAACTCGGAGCAGAACATATTTGTTTGAAAATCGGACCTAATGAGCCGATAATGAGCTGTCCGATGGCACCGTCTTGTTCAGTGGGATGAGAAACGGGACACAAAGTGCACGTTTCCTCTTTTTTTAGCTGATCCGAGGCCCGGCTCACTTCCACTCTGCGGTGGCGGACTGAAGATGTGAGAGGAAGACTGGTGATCTGAGCAGGGAGGACAAATTGCGGGCTTATGTCTACCAGCCATCTGTCGGCTAGCACGCCTAATCCAGCAGCATCGGATGGGGCTCGCAACTCCCCCCTACCCCACCAACAAAACATCAATCCTGACACTGACCTGTATTGCATCCATCCACAGCCTCTGCTTCTTTTGCACCAGTTGTTGCCTGGTTTGCATTAACCTTTTCTTTCTTTAGCAACACTAAATCATCATTCGGTATTGAGGATTGCTCAGCTTATTAACTCAACTGTTTATTTGTTGCAGAAATCAACATTTAACGTTTGCTTAATGGCTTGAACTTCATATCCGTGATTATTCTGGCTGGTCTGAAGGTTTTTAGGATCAGACGGATAACGGAATGCTAATGCTAACACCACAGTTTCACATAAAAGATTCACTGATCTGGCATTTCATGACTGATAAAAAAATTCCAGTTTTCTTTAAGGCCTGACCTGCTGCTAACTCTGGTTTTTATACAGTACTGAACACAGCACTGAAAGGAGAAAAAATATGCTGTTTGTTGGATAGGAGTCATTTTAAATCTGATAAAAGAAAACAGCAGAAATTAGAAGATTGTAGCATTTTTTCACTAAAGCTTATGTCCCTTTTCTCGTTATTTGTTTCATTTTAACACAAAGTGCATCAGAGTACATGATCTTGGTTGATGCGCTGAGAAACTGATGTTTAAACTGATAAAATTTTTCAGTAATTTCAGTATTTCGGCATTAGCCAATTATTTAGTGAATCATTGGCTTCAAGACTTAGTGACATTTCAAATAAAAACAAAAAAGAAACTGATTTTGTTCCACACATGTGGAACTGAAGACAATCGCTCTCACCTAGCGCTTGCAGTTTGATGTAACTGACTGGGCCTGTGAACAGTCAGGTTCTCTGACTGGTTCTGAAGGCCGATCGGTTCTGCTGAGCTGCCGTTTCCTGACGTGCTAGCATATATGGAGCACGCCACATGTCACAGATCAACCCTCTTATGGACTTAACTCTGTGATGGTTTTGTCTCTTTTAACCACAGCTTTAAAGTACAAGGCCATTCTCCATTTGGGTCACGGGTTCAATTTCACTTATTGCTAGGTGTTTTGTAGTCGTGAGGATGAACGTTTCATGGCGACTGCGGGGAAACGCTTGGAGACGGTTTGGCAGGACGTCAACCGTCACATAGAGAAAATGGAAACGGAACAGTCAGAAGCAGTGTTTTTAGAAAAGAAGTCGCCCCGATTGCTGGTTTTATCCTGTTCTCCCTGTGTGTTTCTGTCCTGTAGGGATTCTTTCGGAGAAGCATCCAGAAGAACATGGTGTACACTTGTCACCGGGAGAAGAACTGCATCATCAACAAAGTCACTCGCAATCGCTGCCAGTACTGTCGGTTACAGAAGTGCCTGGAAGTTGGGATGTCTAAGGAGTGTAAGTAGAAACCCGTCGTTTCCGCAAATCCCTTGCTGCCAGGCCAGAGCAGGAGATCTCATCATGGCTGTTTTAATCCTGCAGTGTGTCACGGCTGCACAAAATGTTACATGGCCTCAGCTCACAGTGTCGCGTAAGCAGTGTTCGGTGCTTGCACGCATCAGCTTTGACTGAGATTCAGGTGTGAATGCTGATGCTTCATTTAGAGATTAGTATCTCTTACTTCAGGCAGATGATCAGCTGCACTAGAATAATGCTCCTGGTGCATAAATGGCTTTAGATTTCAGGATGAACAAAACAGGCTTCCTATGAAGATTAAGAATCTCCTTATTATCTCATTTATAAGGAGATTCTTAATGGTTTTTAAGACTTGTTCACTGGATCCATACATCCATCCGTTCATTGCTTTGATTACTCATCCCTCCATCCATACCTTCATTTCATTACACTGGTGAACAGCCAAAACATTGGGGTTTTTGCAACTGTTTTAGGGTCATATTGATGAGCTGAATCCAAAAATCACGTTGGTTTTGCTCAACCAGGACAACTTTCTGAACTATGGAGCAACATGAGCATCAAAATTCATGACTTGTTCTCACATATGGATTGGTTTCCTGAGAATCTGATCAATGAGTGACGAGGAGAAGGAGAGATTCCATCAGGACAGAAAAGAGACGGAGAATTTTACACAATGAAGATGTAATGTTCAATTCACATGAACTTCAGTGTTTATGATTAAATTTAAAGAAGTCCAAGTTTGTAACATTTAATTAATACACTCTGTTAGCAAACAATTTTTTTCTCCTAAAACCTTTTTTGGATGAGAAATATGAACAGAAATGAACTGATAATGTCACAAACATGTTATCAATTTAGTCAGAAGATCAGATTTCTCTAAATCAAATTAGAATAAAAACCTGACCTGATTGAGAAAAATGGATGTTATTTTTGGACTCAGCAGTGAAAAATAGTCCTAATTCAGTTAAAAAAATATAGATGACTTCCAAAAAGTATTTTTTTGTAACCCAGTGTCATCCATCCATCCATACTTTAAACATGAGTTAGAAATAAAAACTGTTGACTAGTGTGAACTTCGAAGACCCAAAAAATGAAGGAATCCTGAAACTAATGTTGCTTTGTTGAGGATGATGGACTGGAAAAGGGCAGCCATGTCCACTGAGTGGCAGTGACGGTGTTTGCGTGTCCAGGGTCTGGCAGGCCCCTGTGATGAATTCGTTCTCACCTGCCGAGAGCCAAAGAGCAGGCGTCTGCTCCCATCATGGGGGACGTTCGGTGAACACACACCGCACACCGGCAGCCAGACGGGAAACAGTAATTGGCGGAGGTGTGTACGCTAAGAGTTCGGAGGCCGGTGCCGTGTTCAATCTGGTCACGTGACTCACCCACGGCCCCCGTGCAGTGGCGCACACCCGAACCCCATTTGTTGTAGCAAATACAAGAATCAATAAAAGTCAAATCCAGAAAGTCTCTTCCTGCTTCCTCCACCAGTTCAGACGCATGCAGCCAGCCCGTGCTGCTATCTGCGCCTCACGTCTTTACACAACTATTTACCTCCTGGTTGGGCTGCAGGAAGCGCTCCCTGTGCAGCAGCACTGTGGCTTACAGTAAAACAAGTTATCCTCTGAGCTCCTTACCTTTGAATGGGGCCATTAATCATGCTTACAAGTATCACAGCAGCCTTCTCTATGCATAGCTGCACACTGCATTCAGGCAGTGCTGCAGAGTGGAGCTGGAGAGCCATCTAGTGATGAAAAAGTGGTACAGCAGTAAATAGTTTCCTGAACGGACTCTTGGCTGGGGATTTAAATGTTTTCACTGGTTCGCTGAATAGATTTTTTTTTTGTAATTCTGCAAGCGGTTTGTGGTCGTTTTGTGCAGTGTGGGCAGATCGCTCATCCTCTGGTCAGAGAAAGTGACATTGGTCAGTGAAAGTTGCCAAAAATCCCGGAGGCCGGTGCTGAGGGAGAGGCAGGCCATCTGGGGCCCACAGGGGACTCTGACACCGGCTCGCGCTCATCACAATGCGCCCTCCTGCATAATAACAACGCTCAGGCCACAATTATGCATGCGCAAGGTGACAACACAAGAACGAGTGAACGCGAAGGCATCACTAAGACCAAAACCGCTCTCCTCCGCATAGGAAGTGGACCGGTGAAGGGCGTCTTGGTGACCTTGTGTCGGCTGGCAGACGGTTCCAGGCGACAGCGCCAGGCCTTCTGCCAGGTGGCAATGCCAAACAAGACAGAAGCAGGGGGTGGGGTAAGGGTCCAGGGAGGCACTCAGGGGCTTCAGAGAAAGTGCCTATAATTCTGCTGCCTGGTTAATATTAACATGACTGCATGTGGTAAAGGAAGAGAGCTAATTATGACCTGAAAGGAAGGTTGATCCGTCATAGTTTGCACCCAGCCATGAAAAGAGGGAGTGAGACGTCCACCCATGTTTAGACTGTTCAGGAAACATCAGCTCATTTATCTTTGATCTCAGCCCAGAATGCAGTCTCACACCTCGAGGAACTCCACGTCTCCAGGGGTTTATTAGCTGAAAGGCTGACGTTGCTTTTATCTCAGCCTTTAGTGGATGAAGTAGGTGGGAAGTCCTACAGGGTTCATCTGCTATAAACTTAGCATTGCAGCAGTTTCCCTCAGAAAACCTGCTAATCTGGTAGGGGGCGCTAGGCTAGTCATCCAGCAGCCCGACGTGTTTTTGAGTTTAAAAAGGTTTAAAGTCGACAGGAAATTTGAAAGTATCACTGGGTCATTATGTGCTATGGGAAGACTTTAACAATAGCTTAACAAGATAAATGAGAAGTCTTAAAAAAAAGGCAAATGTAGCAAAAAATAACAAAAATACAATTAAAATAAATATAAGTTCTTTACATTTCAGTTGTTTCGTCCCAATTAAAGTGTCCAAAATCTTTTAATCCTTTGTCACTTTATTTGCTGAAGTTCTTAGCATGTAGAGCAGTAAAGACAGGAAGTGGTTATGAATAAAGACACCTGACCTCGGTCTCCCTATGTGTTCATTGTACAGTGCCATTGTGCTTCCAACTGTTTCATCAAAGAGACTCTTTAATATCACTAGAAACCTTCTAGTATAATGTAAGCATGTATGAACCTTTGTCCTGTGAGCAGTCAGTGTCATCAGGTGGTGTAACACCAGCCTGTCGGAGGGCAGCTGACGTAAAGCAGGTTTTTATTATTATGAATTTAAGTTAAGGACGACATGTTAAGAGAAACTCTATTTTAAACCGTTCTTTACAAAGTCAACAACTTAATGGAGTTGCTATGTGCTCATCCAGGAGGAGTGGGTGCTGCAAGTCAGTGACTCAATGCAGGCTGCTGGGTTTCCTTAAATGGAAAACTTTTCTTTTTAAGCTAATTAGAATAATAAACTTAGTTTGATAACTAGCATCAGTTGGAATGTATGCGTGTGATTGAATTGAGATTAGTTTTTTTTTTTTGTAAAATGCCTCAAGACCACATTAGTTGTGGAATAAACTGAATTGAGTTAGCATCTTCTGTTAGCTAATACTGTGATTAGCAACACTAAGACATCACTCTGTGCGTGTTATCTCAACAGTGCAGACCTTTGTCACTTTAAAATGTTTCATAGATTCTGAAAATAGCCACCTTCCCTCAATAAGTGTCTACATTAAAGGGTGTTGCCATGGAAACCTGGTAGTGATACATATGTAGTTTTGAGCGCATCAGTATCAGTTCCGATAAAGAAAACTAGGCCAACGTTAACTACAGATATTTATTTTTATCTTGTTGCCGTGTGTTTGGGGAGGGGTGGAGGGCTGGTCATGTGGTATTTGTTTGGTCATGTGACCGTGATGTCAGCGCAGGATTATGAGGAAAAAAAGAAAAGCAGAATTCCAGTTGCTCATTTCTGCTGTTTCCTCCTGTAAATCTTTGTGTGTTGGACACGTCTCCCTCAGCTGTGTTAGTTCAACTTCAGAGCGGTCTCTGTCCCCCAGTTACATCACCACCCCTTGTTTGTCAAACTCCCAATATCACCCAGACGGCCACATTTTCCTCCAGGAAGGCTTTACATGATGACAGACAAAGTAATAAAAGTAAAAATAAGATGAAGCCCCGAATGATAGAGAACAGCACCAAGTGAGGATAACATCAGCTGAGGAGGCCAGATGGGGGAGAGAGAGTGGAGGAGGAATATGAGAAGCTGAGGGTGTGTGTGTGGGGGGGGAAGGGGGGGGGGTCATCTCTCTGTGAGCTGCAGGAGCAGGGGGAGAAACATTGACATTTTTATCTTTCCATTGAATTTAATCTGCGTGATGGACGAGCTGCCAGCACTTTAATTTTCCTCACACGAATTATCCCAGTCTGCCTACCTCTGTCTGTTTGTGCTGCACACATACACACACACACGCACGCACGCACCCACACACACACACACACACACATACACACATATATACACACACTCGCAGACGCACACAATACACACATCAGTGCTGAAATCCAGCGCGAGAATGACTGACTGATGTCTCTTCAGTGTTTTCTATGACACTCCAGCTCCTGTAAATCACATAAATGGAATAAAGACGTAAATGTAAACGATTCAGGATGAATGTTGCTCTATTAGCATCCATATTGTCTTAATATATTTTGAAAAGATGCATTTATTGAAGCTGACAACACTCCTGGACACACACACACACACACACACACACACACACACACACACACACACACACACACACACACACACACGTACGTGTAACAGGAAATCAAGACTCATTCATTTGCATGATCCCCAAGCCCAGGCCTCCTCAACACCCCCCAAGTTATTGCATGTGGCAATTCACCATGACAGATCGCCAGTCGCGCCTAATAGTTCTTTAATGACTTCATTAAACTGTGTTGTGCGGCATATGATTGTGCTGCCAATTTGTCAGTGCGGGTAATGTCTGGGCACTGGGGATGCCCCACTTTTATTTGTGAATTAATTGGACATGTGCCGCTGCCCTCCGCCCCTCCCTCCCCCCTGGTGGCAAACACAAGACTGATTCCCAATCAGGCCCACAAGCAGGGCTGGCCCAGATCTGCTGAGCAGCTTAATACACATGTACACAAACCTCCTCCAAAGCTGAGCGCTGTCAGACAGCCTGGACCCTTACTAAGACGTAATTATGTCATAAGCAGAAATGGAAACGGAGGATATTTTTTGTTGTTTTTAATGTGGGGGGAAAAAAGCTACTTCCTCATAAGTGTCGATAAGCCCTGGGAAGGAACACATTAACATGATCACAGCAGGGTCGTCGTCTCACGTTGTGGCAAGCGGTGCTTAGCGGCAACATAATGCAGGATCAGACTTCCAGCCCCCGCCTTCCTGCTTGCCTTAATGTTCTCCCAGGCAGGGAGGCCTGTCTGTGGGCTGATGAATGAGCTGCAGCACAGAGCTGTGCTTTCCTCTCTTTGGCCCCAGTCCACGGCAGACCCGCTATCAAAGACAGAGGCTTCCCAACAGGCCTGGCGCGCCGACCCTCTGTGGTCAAGGTTCGGATCGAGACAAGGAAATTCTGATCTCGGGTCGGGAAGAGGAAACTCCCCCAGGTTTACCATGGCGAGGTGGAGATAAAAGAGCTGATAAGAGGTGGTTGGTTTAAGGTAAAAGAGTGTTTACAAGATTTCTCCTGATCAGGTTCCCTTGGTCACAGATACTGATCAGTTATTTAGGAAAAGCCCTTTACCAATACCAAGACTAAGTAGATGAGGAATACTGTAGATGTTAGCTTCTGTTGCAGTGCTAAGATGCTTTCCATTGTGTGTGTTAATCCACACTAAGGTATATTTGGTATTTGAACTATTAAAATGGGCCGTTAGAGGTGTTTTAGAGAGGCCTCAAGTATTTGCAGATTGTAGCTACTGATGAACAGTGTGGTCACTAACCCATGAATACCTGGGGGTTTATCCAAAAGGGGCAATTCAAAGGGTCACAAGGCACTATTGACCAGGAAAGGACACAAAACCACAGGTCACATTTGTGGAGACAATTTTTGCAACAATTATTGATAATGATGTTTTAACACAGTTTGCTGAACCGCTATGCTAATGCTAGCTGGATAAAACACCAGTTTTGTGTTATGACTATTTGTCTTGTGTGAAAATCTTGTGTAAAAGGTCAGTCTGCTTCTTAATGCTGTAGACCATCTCCATCATTACAAAGGACAAAATGTTTGGGGGAAACCCCAGAATATTTAGGTCAGCAGTATAGTCTACCAAACCACTAGCAAAACTTTCCAAGTCTGGCTTATAAGAAAAGGTCATTAATTCTAAAAATGAATTATGTCATACACCAATAACATATCAGGAGTTGAGTTGTGTCAGCAGCTCTGTTACCAGTCATTTAAAAGGGCCTTCGTCGGGACATCCTTAGCATCCACTAGGTTTATCTCTAGAGGAGAAAGCAAAGCGAGGGAATGACTGGGAAAGTGAGAACATGTTGTAAACCAAGAGAGAGAGAGACGAGGAAAAGAAAAGGCTGGAGGCTCCCCCCCCCGTTATGGGCGCTATAGCCGAGCCCTTTTAAAACCATTACAGGTAGGATATTTGTCATATTATGTTATTACATTAGCTGGGACCCCTAATGAAAGTTGTGGCAATTTGTCAGCCTTATGGATAGCTCCATCCCCCTCTACTATTTATCAACTTGCACCCCATCTCACCCAATGTACACGTACACACACACACACACGTACACACAGCCTAATCAGAGCCAGCGTGGATAGGCTGGGAGATATGGATCGGCCTTGTAATGGGATTCCAATGCTAAACACCCGCCCCGTGTTTTTTGTCATTTGGGGTGATCATGCTCTCAGCCAGATCGCCTAGAGGGAAACAACAGTGGATTATGTCGAGCTTTTTTTTCCTCCTTCTTCTTATTCCCTCTCCTCACACCATTAGCGCAGCCGTTCCTGGATGCAGCTGTCTCACAACATTTGTCTTTCAGCCTCTGATAACAAAAGGAGCCCTTTCTGCCGCCCCGCCGCACACAGTATCACGTCTTTAAGGCCTTTTACTTCTGCTTTCTTTAGCTCCTGTCAGGAGATTTTAATCATGTCTGAATGGATTTAAAGATTTGCATGATATTCAGGAATTCCCTTTGGAGGAAAAAAATTTTTTTTTTGTTTTTTTCAACTGTGTTTTCAAAGATAAATACAGCGGCTTGCAAAAGTCTTCCTACACCTTGGACTGTTTCCATTTTGTCGCAACCACAAACTTCACTTCAATTTTATTGGGTCTGAATGTGATAAACAATCAAAAAGTAACACATAATTGTGAAGTGAAATTAAAAAAAAAAAAAAAAGATATATGGATTTCAAATTTGTTTATAAAATAAAGCCAAGGCATACACAGGGATAAACACACACACACACACACACACACACACATATATATATATATATATATATATATATATATATATATATATATATATTTTTTTTTTATGTGGCATTTGTTTGGCATTTACCCAGATATCAGAGTTTTTAGAAGTCACCTGATTGGTCCACCAGAGTTGGTCAGAACCATGCAGTTCATACAACATGTGGAGGAAGGTGATTGAAATTGAACAAGACCCCAAAGTGAAACAGATTGAGCTTTTTGGTTTGGAAGAATGGGAGGAAAACGTTAGTCTGCTGATGCAGTATTTTTCGAAATGGGGGCCACCAGGAGGCGATAGTGAGACCTCAGAAAACTGGAGGGAACATGAGAAAAAAAATGCAATTGATTTTTCTATTTCATAAAATCTTTATTTTTTTTTTATCGTCATTATAACATCTAAGATAAAACAATTAATTTAAATGTTATTTGACCTGTTCATCTTTCCGATTGGCTACCAGTCAAATTTATCAACTAGCTGTACTCAAGCTAGCTAAGGTAAAAGGCATGAGGCAGCATTTATGCTAAATGAATGCAGCAATCATAAACCCTTTTGATCCTTTATGTCAGGATTTTCTTTTTTAAGGTATAAAATAAGGTGGGAAAAAGTTTTGTGTTGAAAACAAATTCTAAGATTTTTTTTCTCTAGGTGATCAATTGTACTTTTCTCCAAATACAAAGTTGTTAATTTGAAAATACATCAGTAGTATTGTTCTTTAGGGGTTACTTGATGTTACTATATTTGTTTACCTGACTGCCATATTGGATTTACCAAAAATGTTCTTGCACTTGCAGTGAATAGCCAATAGTTGATGATGTATTGTATGACGCACTAGTGACCACTTCAGTGGTCTGTGTGAATTTATAACATAAAAATCCACAGGAAACACAAGAAAATGGCTTTTAGATAGCTGTCCACTGCAATGACCGCTGTATGTTAAAAACCATTCTAACAGTCGATTCCCCCTTAGTCTGCAGCGTTGTCTGAAAGCAGGTCTCTGTCCAGAATCGAATGCTGCTCGGGGAAAAGTTTGTGCTTGCAGCTGTAAACGTGTCCTCCCATATGGGACTCGTTGTCATGTAACCCTTGTGTTTTCTTTGCTCTGTGCAGCGGTGAGGAACGACCGGAACAAGAAGAAGAAGGATGAGAAGAAGCAGGAATGCACAGAGAGCTACGTGCTGAGTCCCGACACGGAGCAGATGATCGACAGGGTTCGCAAGGCGCACCAGGATACTTTCCCCTCTCTCTGCCAGCTGGGCAAATACACTACGGTCAGTGAGTGGAAGTGTATCCATCTGTGTGTCTTGCTTGTGTTATTTCAGCTTTTTTTAAATTTATTTATTTATTTATTTTATTTTTTTTATGTTGTGTAAGCCATTGTCTGACCTGCTAATGATCTTCACAGACTAACAGCTCAGAAAGGCGCGTGTCTTTGGACATAGACCTGTGGGACAAGTTCAGCGAACTGTCCACCAAGTGCATCATAAAGACGGTGGAGTTCGCGAAGCAGCTGCCGGGCTTCACAACGCTCACCATCGCCGACCAGATCACTCTGCTCAAAGCCGCCTGTCTGGATATTCTGGTACAAATATTTACTCATCTTTCCATCTTGGTTCAGAATTTCACATCAGATTTTAGTTATTTAAATGACTATCTCCTCAAAACTTTTTTTGTTTCTGTTTTCCAGATACTACGCATCTGTACACGTTACACACCAGAGCAAGACACCATGACCTTCTCAGACGGCCTCACGCTAAACCGAACCCAGATGCACAACGCCGGCTTCGGTCCCCTCACTGACCTGGTGTTTGCCTTCGCCAACCAGCTCCTGCCTCTGGAGATGGACGACGCAGAAACGGGGCTTCTTAGCGCTATCTGCCTGCTGTGTGGAGGTAAAGCCCTATCAGAGCTAATGTTAGATTTGACGCATATTTCTTTTAGCCCTCCAGCTCAACAGCATAGTTTGTACTTTCTTCAAAAACCTGATGTATGAAATTCTCTGCCTCCCTCTAGTGGAGTATTTAAGTAGTACAGCTGGCAAGAATCTGAGATCAATTTCTGTGTAAAAATACAAAATTAATAGAAAAATCATTTGTATAGTTGTGGAAAAGTGTGGCATAAAAATGTATGACGTTGGGTGTGCTGTGGTGGCGCAGGGGTTAAGCACAACCCACATATGGAGGCCTTAGTCCTCGACACGGCTGGCGCTAGTTCGATTGCCGGCCTGGTGACCTTTGCTGCATGTCTTCCCCTTTTCTCATTAGCCACTTTCCTGTCAATTAACTATCAAATAAAGTCCACTAGAACCAATAAAACCTTTTAAAAAAATAAATGTATGACATTGGTTAGAATTAAAATGCAGTTTGACACATCACTATAAATCCATAAATGTTTAATGCAACAACTATGACACACCAAAAATTGAAAATTGGAGAAATCTTAATGATGCTTTCTGTTGTGATTATTTCTTGTTTCTGGCTTTGACAAAAAAAAAACAAAAAAAACATCCAAAATCACTTTTATTCTAGCTACTGAAAATTTTTTTCAAGTTTTAATGGATGTTTTTTTTTTCTCTGATTAGCAAAGAGACACAACAGTAGTTGAGGATTATTATCTCATTTTTTTGGAGCTTTATGTCTCTTTTTTCCTTTTTTCTTTCTTTTTTTGTAGATCGGCAAGATTTAGAAGAAGCAGATAAAGTGGACATCCTGCAGGAGCCCCTGCTGGAGGCCCTGAAGATTTATGTACGGAAGAGGAGGCCCCACAAACCTCACATGTTCCCCAAGATGCTGATGAAGATTACTGATCTGAGGAGCATCAGTGCTAAAGGTCTGTTGTTCCTCACATGTAGAAACATCTCATCTTCACGTCTGTCATATTTAGCTTTCAACTGCTTTGGTTTTGCTTGGAAATTAAGGATGTCACTATTAGGATTTCGTTCAGACAGACTGAAGGCTTACTGTTAAAGACAAAAATTGAGCAGAAATTAACTTGTGGTCGTAAAAAATGCCTTAAAAGTTGGTTGACGCTAATGGTAACTAGCTGATAGCTAACTAGCTTTTTTTGCATCTATCATGGAAATTTATCACCAGTTGGCTGAATGAAGTTCGTACTTCTCTGTGGAGGTACAGGTCTTAAATTCCACACACATTAGCCTTAAAAAGAGTCTTTAAAAGTCTTAAATCTGAGAAGGTGAAACCTGTAAAAGAGCAGGTGACTGGAATTGAGATTTTTGGTACTGATCATAAAAAAAACACAAAAAAACCCAAGAATAAATAAATGGACTTTGTGCGTCCATCATGTCTGCAGGAGCGGAGCGCGTCATCACACTGAAGATGGAGATCCCTGGATCCATGCCGCCTCTCATCCAGGAGATGCTGGAGAACTCTGAGGGCCTGGAGAGCGGCGCCGCAGGCAGCAGGCCCAGCGGCGCCCCCCCAGGCAGCTGCAGCCCCAGCCTGTCCCCCAGCTCGGCCCAAAGCAGTCCAGCCACACAGTCACCATAGAGACGGCTCCCTCGTTTTCATCATTTTTTTCTCTTCATGTCGTCTCCCAACAGAAAGGAGGGGGGAGGGGCAAAGGAAGGTGGGCTTCGATCCTAACTGCTGATCACAGGAGACTGGCGGAGACGCCTCCTTCTTTCCACCACACCCCCATCCTCCCACCACCCGACACAAGTCCACATCTCCTGATCTGCTTGCTGTCACTGTGGAACACTGCTCGGACAGGAGGGGGGAGGCGTGGGGGGTTGAGCCTGGGACGGACCGGACCGGACCGGGACGAGAGTTGAACCCCGTAAACACCGACTCCTCCTCCTTTTCCTCCACCTTCCTCAGAGTCACAGACGTTAACAAGTCCGGATGCAGTGACCTGTTCTGAATGAGTGAGAGCAGCACAACGGGACGAAGACATGGACATGGACATGGACATGGACGGAGGCTGACTTGACAAACACCAGACACTTTGTTGTTGTTTCTCTGAGGCAGACTACAACGTTGAAGACCCCACTCCTCAAAAGACTCTGGGTCTTTCCTCTGTTTTTTTTTTTTTCTTTTCTTTTGTGTTTCATTTTCAAACAAAAAAACAACCAGATTTTGTACAAAAGATATATAAATATATATAGAAGAGTTAAGGAACTATGGTGCTTGGCGTGTCCGGGAGCGAACGGCGGGCTGACACCAGGACGAGTTTACCGCGCTGAGATTAGAACTTGTACTCCTTCACTGTTTGAATCTTTTTCATACCTATCAAAGAATAATGAGAGACGTTTCCGTTTCACGTTTGTATATTATTCTTAATAACAAGAAGATAAACAACAAAAAAAAAGACGTTGACATTTCTCTGGAGTCGTACACAAACACAGAAACGTGCACAAGAAAACGATGAATATCAGCTACTATTCCAGGTTGGATTTGTTTTCCCTTTAATCTAATCTCTTTTTTTTCTGTTCTGTTTTCTTCCCTAGAGAATGAAAAAAAAACTGATTGTATGAACTTGGTTGTATGATATTGTCACAGGTCCTTTCAAGAAATCAAATTAATGAAGAGTCATTATTAAGGTGTATTTTAAGTGGCTTTGAGTTTGTGTATATAAGCTGTATTCATTTCTTTAAAACTATGAAGAGTTTTAGGCCTCACATGATTTTTTTTTATTTCTCTTTTTTGTTTTGTTCTAGTTTTTGTGATTCAAGAAAATACATTTTTGAGCACATTTTACAGAAGGAAGTTGTTTTCATGCTTTGTGTCCTACTGGAGCGTGTTGGACGAGCCCTTCACCCGTCGCTGTTCACACACTATTTAAACATCTGCCCTTCCATTCTGCAGCTGTGTGTTTTCATGGTGTGCAGACTGATAACGAGGCATGGGCCGGTGTGACGTTATCACCGTCTTGAACTGAGAAATGCCACCACAAAAACGTTTGTGTGAACAAGTCAAAAAAAAAATTTATTTTTGGGGACATTAAAATGAATATGATCACCTTGGTCTGCTTTGTCAGGAATAAAAGTGCATTTTTAATTCAATTTTTAAGAATTAAGTAACATTTATTTATTGGTTAACTTTATTTTGATTCAGTCTTAACATTTACAATAAGTCCCTAAATTTGTCTGTTGTTTTCAAGTAATCAAAATAACTAAGCAGAATATTATGCCTTCAAAATTTATTATAGGCTAATAATCAGTGTCTGCTCTATTAGCTAGCTAGCTTAAAAGTGGAACTCAAAAATATTCATACAGACGGATTTAGATCCCAAATTATTTTTATCCATGTTATTCAAACAGGAAGTGAGGCATTTCTCTACAGATTATAAACGATGTAAAAGCAGCATCAGTTTTTGGGTTTATTTAAATTCTGGCAAAAAAAAATGGCACGTTGAAATTAGCTGTAACCTGGGTAATCAATAGAAAAATCCATCAAACTTCTTATTTAAGCCCTCTTGCCATCACCCTAATCTTTAGCTCCCTCTACAGATTCTCTGTCAGATCAGAATGTGAATATTGCTTCCAGTCAGCAGAAACATGTTGGTAATTTAAATGAAAAAACAACACAAACTACCAGGGATGTGAGTCATTTTAGGCTTAACTCCAGTTTCAACATGATGTTGCACTTCTTTAATTTCCCCATCGTGACTGTTGCTGTTTTTTTTGACTGGAAGTATTTCCAAATTTCACCTCATTTCTTTTAGCCAGAAAAAAGTGTAACGGCTGTTTTTTCAGGAGGAAGAGGAAGTCCAACCGTTTCTATTGTATCTTGTTAAAGGTCATCAGATAGAAACAGGATGCAAAAAACATAAAGTCTTACCAAGTATATTTGGTCTAGTTTCTTGTGCAAATATCTTAGAACACAAGAAATAGGATCTAAATAATTCATTAATATTGATGAAAAAGTTCTGGTTAAACTGGGAGATTATTTCACATATAACGTGGGGAAAATGTCCTGTTGGACACTTTTTCATCAATATTAATGAATTATTAACTTAATACAAGTTCCTATATCTTGCTGGAAAGTTAATTGTAATTTAGTTTAGTCTTAATTATGACATTTGCACTGTAAACTAGACCAAAAAAAAAAAAAAAAACTTGGTAAGACTTTGTGTTTTTACTGTGTGGGACATTTTAACCGTCACGCACATGAATAAATACTACGTCACTATTGTTTTCTGTTAATGCGCTCCTCTCTGGTGTTTTAACCCCGCTTAACCCGTTCTCCTCAGAAGCTTCCGGTGAAACTGTCCGCAGCTGAACTCCAGTAACCGGTTCTGTCTCGACAGGTCCAACAGAACCACGCCCCGCCGGGATTCCCTGCCGGTGTTTTGGCCTGCACTGATCCCGGTGGCCGGCCCATGCCTACAGTTAATAAATGAAACACTCCTATCAGAGCACAGCTTTCGTTTTCTTTTCCTTTTCTTTTTTCCTTTTTTTTTTTTTTTTTTTTTTTTTTTGCATTGTAGCGAAAAAAAAAAAAAAAAACGAACAAAAATGGCGAGTGGCTCGTGGGGCGAGGGAGGCTCGGCCCAGCCCCAGCGGGTCAGCTTCAGAGAGAGTTCTCATGTGAGGGAGGGTGTATATTACACTCTGTGTTAAACACACAAGTGTTTAAATACTAGTATTAATGTGAGGGAGTGTGTATGCGCTCTGTGTTAAACACTTGCCATGTTCTCGGTACTCTGAATGAACGGGTTTGCGTTGGCACCTGTCAGAGAAGGTTCCAGGCAGAAGTTCTCCCCTGAACCAATCAGCTTTTAGAACAAATGTGTGTCAGATCCGGATCAGCCGGGCGCCCTGTGACTCACTTCACACTAAAACGCCTTCACCGTGAACAACGCGCCATCCGGACCATCGTTACTGTACCGCACCAATGTCTCAGGAAGGAATCATTTATGTGTGCTTGGCCTGTTGCTAGTATTTGTTCTGTGATGCGATCCCTAAAGCCTCCAATCACAAATGCACATGTGTACACACTTCTGCTACTGAGCCCTACCCCGCTCTCCCCCGAACACCCCCC